TTTTTTTTTTTTTCGGATCTCTGTCCTGGGAACCCAAAAGTTACACTAATATCGGGGTAGGCAAGGACTGTTGGGTCGGGTATCTGTGTATCCTCCTTAGCTTCTTTCTTCCGTTCTATCCTTTGGTGAACCATAATATGAGGTCTAGGCTAGGCCACGGGGGAGGCCTTTTCGAGTGAACGGCGGCTTGTTTGATATCCGTTTGATGCTTGTGTCCGTTTGGTGGTTCTATTTCTGTTGGGCCTTTTCTTTTCCTATTCAAGCTTCCTGTCCATGTAACCTACATAGCTCCAACTGCAGCCCTGGAACCCGTAAACTGTTATCAGCTACAAAAATATTTAATATCGATACACAAATTGTCAATAGCCCCTCTTTGATCCTACAGCCGTCACTAGACAAAGTTCAAGAATAGATCCGAGGCAGACGAAGCCCTCTCTCAAGCCAGATCATGTCGCTCGTGAACAGAAACTTAAAACTCAGGAATATTAGAAATAATGTACACTATGCTCCCCCCCCCCCAAAGCCATTTTCTCATATGCCTAAGTAAGCAAAAGAAAGCCAAACAAGGCTGGATCCAGTTATTGTTACTGCACCAATCATTCTCAGTCCTGTGTCCCCCTTTGTCTACCTAATCTGTTTTCCCATTTACACTAGGTACGACGTATGTACATACGCAGTGGATCAAGAGAAAAGAAGAGGGAAAAAAAGTTCGTGTGTATAAAGCAAAATCGAGTACGTACAGTAAGTACATCTTCATCAGGCGACAAAGGGAGAAAAAAAAAAAAAGGTTCATCTATTCGAGAGTCGACTCGACCTTTTACAATATCCACATCCATGAATGAGCTAGGGAGGGTTTATCCCGATTGAGGGAAGGTGCCCAAGGGGTTCAGTGGTCTCCGAGAGTTGGTTTCTACTAGTTGACTGACATAATTTGAGGTCGGGCGTTCCTATGTTACACTACGGCAACTATGGGGTTTGAGAATGCCGTGATTCTGTTGGGAAGGTTTCATACTTGGGGGGAAGAGGAATGAACTAGGGAGAGGTGGGAGTTGGAGTAGAGGGCTTTCTGGAGCTTACTGGTCTGCTAGCGGTGGATTTAAAACTCCCCGTTAACTAAATAATAGATAAGCAGGAAGAGACATCGCCAACACTAGAGCCGAGTAAGCTACGCATCAAGCACCAGAACTACCACCAAGGAAGGCTGGGAAGCGATGCAGGTCATGAACATGAGCTCATGGATGTCTGACATCTCACAAGCCTTTCTGCCTGGGAAGTTGGTTGGAGAGGAAGAAGTGATATCCCATGCATCATCGACAGGTGTTCAAACCAAAAAAAAAAAAAGAAAAAGAAAAAGAAAAACAGGAACAAACCCTTGTATAGTAAAAGCACCGATGTAAATAATGTGTAAATCCCAGAGTTATAAAGAAACATTTTTCATCCACCAGCCCGGAAACAAAATAAAGTAGAAAAGATGAGATATAAGAATCCAGAACCCCCAAATCTCAAATTTGATATTTTTTTTGTTTCTTTTGATTGTGATTGATGCGGTTGCCCCCTGTCATCGTCATGGCATGATAACTATATTTGCATAGCATAGCATACATAGCTTTAGTATGGTATGGTGTATCGCATATGCGAATGCGAATCGCTCAATCACCACCACAGGGTTATCATCAATAGCTTTAGCACTAGCCCCTGGCCGCAACCAACAATCCTTCCCATCCGATCCATATCCATCAGAATTCGACAGGTCGAGGGCGCGCTTAGTTCTTGGACTTCTTGGGGCCCTTGGTCTTGGCGGTACCGCGGAACTTCTTGGAGCGGTTCTTGCGCTGCTTGCCTGTATTCCGGAAGAAAATCACACATCAGCCCATGCCTTGTTTCGAAACCCAGATATACCATATCCAGAAGGGAAGGAAGTGCATACGCTGCTGTCTGCTGGGCTTCTCGATCTTCTCGGCAGCACCGATACGGACGAGACGGTAGTGAGGCTCAAACTTCTTCAGGGCTTCCTGGGAGTCGTAGACGAGGGCGAAGCCAGTGCTCTTGCCACCACCGTATTGCGTACGGAAGCCGAAGACGGAGACCTGGTCCTTGTTGGCCTTGTACAGGTCGGCGAGCTTGCCGCGGAGCTCATCCTTGGAGACGTTGGCGCGGTTGGGGTGGAGGACGTCACTGCAAATCATATTAGAGATCATGTTCAACTCGTCGTTCTTCTTTTCTTGCAAATGTTCAAATCTCCGATCCATCACTGCCGGTCCTCCTCTTAAAGATTATAGAACCCCCATAATCAATATCTCCCCAGAAAAAAAAAAATCACATCTCCAAAGTAACCCCCTCTTGACCCAAAGTTTTTCTCACGCCAACAAAATTTCATCTGCCGAAGAACAAACCGTCCCATCCCAAGTCGGCCTCGGATGCAAGATTGTGAACAGCGGACAGAGGGAAAAACAGGGAGCTTACACGACCATCTGCTTACGAGCAAGTAGGGGGTTGCGGATGAACTTGCGAGTCCGCAGGGTAACGGGAGCGTCGGCCATTATTGCGGTAGCAGCGAATATCTGCGTCGACGAGGACAGGAAGTTGGGGGGGGGGATTGTCGAAGTCGCTGTCGTTGGCGGGCTCGAAGTGGTCGGTCGTCAAATCCCAAAGTGATAATTTTGCTTGTTGTGCATGTGGGCTCGCTAAGGGCGCACTAACCCGCTTTCGGTAGGTCTATGCACGTGACAGCCTTATCCGCTATCAATTGATCGTCCCCCTCATTCTCAACGGAGTATAAAAAAAGTCCCAAAGAGAAAATATTTCTACTAAAAATGTCTCAAGATAACGAAATACATTCACTAAAGAAGCTTGCCGCACAGTACTCGCAACAACTCGACCTAACTCATCTCTCTCTCCCCAACACCTCCACCATTGTACGTCCCGACATTCAATGCGCCATCTACGAGCATATGTTCAACGAGGCCGCATTATGGCCCCTCCCACCAGTGGGCTATCGCACACGCGTTCTAAAGACGATCATAGCACGGATTGAAGAGGGAATCACCGATCCGGAGGAGGATGTACGTCCGATCCTAACCTCTACCTGTATGCAGAACCCATTTCTAGAAATACAGATAATGGTTACTTCCAACCAAGATATGCATTATTATATGTTTCTACCAATTGAACCATCCGCGCTTCATAAAATAAACCATTAACTAGTAATACCTGGATAGGAACTAAATTCTGACCTCATTGAAACTTGGACAAACCTGATCTCCCTCCCCAAACCCTCGCAAATCCAGCAAGCCCAACAACTAACCTACATTAAATACACCGCCCCCGCCACCACCACCTCTGAAGACTCCCAAACAGTGATCACTTCGGAATCGCGCGGCCTGATCTACTCCTCTGGCACTACCGGCTTCCGCACCTGGGAAGCCTCCCTCCATCTCGGAACATACCTCTCCACACCCACCGGCACAGCCCATGTGACCGGTAAACGGGTGATCGAGCTCGGCGCGGGAACAGGGTTCTTGTCAATGTATGCGGCGAAGTACCTGCGGCCGCAATTTGTGCTTGCGACGGATCGCGAGGGGACGCTGATCGAGAATATGAAGGATAGCAAAGCGAGAAATGGGCTAGGCGGGCAGTTTGGGGTCGGAGCTTGGGAATGGGGAACGCCGTTGGGGTATCAGACTGAAGATGATCCTGAGGGTGTAGCAAGGGAAGATCTGGGTTTTGATGTTGCGCTCGGTGCGGACTTGGTACGTTATGCCTCGTTATTCAAGCTATTTGGTGTTCCTGGTTCGAAGGGGTTAATGGAAAGTAGACCTATGACACAGACTTACTTCCTCTATTGTTCGCTACTCTTCATGATCTTTTTGATAACTACCGGGTCCAAGAATTCATTCTCTCAGCTACATTACGGAACCAGCAGACCTTCCAGGCGTTTCTCGATGCTTGTGGTATGTGCTCCCTTCGATAGTTCTGCTTTGGGGCAGGGTTAGGGCACTGACTATTTCGCAGACAACAACCGTTTTAAAGCAGTGCGTCTACCGTTTGAGTCGCCAGTGACGGAGGACCAGACCGGTTTTTTCCATGAGACCGGGATCCCAATTCGAATCTACCGGGTCACGAGGTAGGTAGCCTTTTCGCAAGAAATTCCATGCTCACGAGAAAGAACTTAGCTACGCTTACGAGTAGTTGAGCCTACCAATGGGTCAATGACAAACAAGTATCCTTAAGATATTATAAAGATTCTGTTATATACTGTATTGAGCCTTCCTATACAAAGCATTATATGGAAAGGGTAACAGTCTGTGATGATAATGAATATCCGCTGGGGTATCATGTAAGCAAATAGAGACGCCAAGTATGTACTCGCTAATCGATAAGGAGTGTCAAAGCCACTAGGGCTGCCCATATACGAACATGCAGCTCATCCCCGCCGTAGCATGAAAGAAAATGGTAGAAAGAAATCAAACTGTGCACAGTGGGCCAGAACACTACTGTTGATACCATCCGTGCCTCACTCTGCCAAAGTCTCCCTCAACAGGCCCTCATCGATCGCCTCCGCGTGAATAGCAAAAGGGGCTCGGGAGGTTGGCCGAAAACCCATGATTGGGCCTGTTTGGTTCACGCCAGGGTACCGATAACGCAGGCTCGGAACGGTGTCAGCCTTGGGGCCTGGCTTTCTATTCGCAGCGGATGGGGGTGTCGTATCTGGCGATACCTGCGATGTCGACGGTATTGGTTGTTCTTGGTGAGGTTTTGTGTCGCCAATGGCCGTTGTGGGTGTATTTCCCAAATGCTCTCGCATCCATCCGCCTACGCGGCGGGTGAGGGAAATTTTTCGAGTAGGTGTCCCAGTAGGGTCTGAGTGGCCACTTGTTGCTGACCCTGTCTCGGAATGCCTACTAGCAGCCATTGAAGCAAGTAGCGTTTGTGAAGACTGGTCAATTCTCGAAGGCTCTCTATTGGCGGTGACTGTGCTCGTTGAGAGAACTGGGTTGGAGAACCGATCGTTACTAGAAAAGATACGGCGCGGGACGCGAGCAGAGTAGGGCCTCGAGATATCCTCCATCCGCGATGGACGTCGACTGGGAGTATGGATGTCCATGCCTGCAACAGAAAACAAGCTCTCATGCGATTGCTTACGCCTTGAGCGATAAGGAGAAGCAAAGATATCATCAGGCGCAGGAGAAAAGGCTCTCTCAGAAGTGGCGTAATGCACGGAGTCTTCTCGTTCCTCCGGTATAACAGGTTGGTACGCATCCCCAAGACCCTTGTTGAAAACGCTATCATCCACAGGATCGACCGAAATATCCGTTTCAGGAGATCGAAAACTAGTATCGTAGAAGCTGCTTCTTCGTCGACTAACCCTTAATGGCGAAAAGGCTGTGCTGTCGGGGCTAGTAGCTCGCGAGGAATCAAACCCACGCTCTACTCTATCAAATATAGACGATGACCGATACCCGGATTGCGGTGAGCTTGCTATGGACTCAGCTCCAGGCGACTGCGAGGACCAGCGTTGAGAAGCCGAGGGAATCTGTACGGGGGGCTGAGACATCATAGTGGACGCAGAAGAATGAGAAGACTGCGATCGGTGCGTAGGTTTGCGAGCTAATTTTGTACCAGAAGGAGAGTGGACAGTATTTGGATGCCCCCAGGTGTGCCTGTTCTTGGAACGTCGGAAAAGTGCGGGTCTCTCCTTTTTGATAGCCGGCGTGTGATAATGGTGGTGAATGTGAAACTCTTGCGGTGCCCGACGCGGTTCCTTGGACTCAAGTTCCTGACTCAATGTCGGTGCAAGTTGTGGTACTTGCCCATCGCCTTCTGTCATGGGGACCAACTGGTGTGAAATGATCTGATCCCGCAGACACTGCACCTCTTGATTTGAACTCTCTAGCAATTCCCGCAATTCAACGATTCCCAATTGTAAATTGGCATTATCCTGTAATATGTCCCGGACAAAGCGGGACACCACGGTTCCGCCGTGACTCCTGCCCAAGTCATGAGTCGCCGCGGCTCCCTTTAGCCGTCTAGCAGCACCATCCAGCTCCCGTTCAACGGTCCGTTTTCGCTCCATACGCTGGACTGCTTCGGTATGGCGTTCGCGTTCCTCTCGTGCCTCCTTCTCAATGCGGTCGATTTGATCATGAAGATCTCTTAAAGTATTTTCCGCCTTCTTCCATCGCTGGACCGCCGATCTTGACTCTTCTTCAGCTGACTCCAGGCTCTCATAGAGCTTAGATTGTTCATTCTCCATCTGAACCAATTGGGCGTCGAGGTCAGCTGCACGGGCAGCTGACACCGTCACTTTGCGAAGCTCAGCTTCAGAATGCTCTAGTCTAACTTCAAGAGACTTGGTATGAGAATCTGCATCAGCAACAGCTTTGTTCAAAGCGTCCAGCTGCTCTAACAGCCCGCGGTTCTCTTCGATGATGCGGGCATTTTCGACCTGCACCTCACGTTTCTCGCGTTCCAGGTTCTCGATACTTGTGAGGAACCGACGACGATCCTCCTCAGCCTCGGCCATGTAGGATTCATGGCGATGTAGTAAAGCCTGTAATGCAAAAGTTAGTGACGACGAGTTCGTTGAAGCGAACGCCGTAACAGCGTTATCTTGGAAGGCAGCCATGACGGACAACAACACAATGGGAGAGGATGGGAGACCTAGCGGTCGTTACAGTCGCCATGGGTGACACGAGGTTGACAGGTCGTCTCTCGCTCCCTTTTTTGCCTTTTCTCAATAACGGCAGCCCGACGTCCTTTCGCAAAGGTAACGGAAGGAGGGTCCAAATTCCAATGGAGTACAAACAATGTGACAGGGGGAAAGTAAAAACAGACTGTGGGGGCTGCGAGTATGACGATCTATGTACTCTCAAGGAACCCCAAGTATGTACAAGTACAAAGTATGCTGACAGACATCTAGCCATGAAGACAAAAAAGCAAAGGAACGGGTGCCATAAATATGGATGCATCGAAGATAACGGAATGATGACGCAGAGGCCTGATTTCGACCCAAAGCGCCGACAAAAGGAACGTACCTGACCCAATCGAGCAGCCGTAGCGAGATCCTTTTCCAACCCCTCCAGGGCCAGATTATTGTGCTGCAGGAATGTACAGTCATTACGGCCACAGCAACAGCGCAGAGCCGTCGGAGTGGATGAGGAGTGGGTAGGAATGCATGGAACCTGACTAGCAGGAACCGGGCTATGCGGACGGGATGCCATGGCTGGGATTAGAATGCGACTTTGCCCAAGACTGTGTGTGAGTTGGCACCCCCTGGAGTGGCTAGCTAGAGCGGAGGCGCCAAATCATCGAGCTGAGCTGTCGATTCCCAGTGGATCTGAGGGGTCAATGAGGGGTGGAAGTGAGATCAGTACATCTCCACCATAAAACTCAGTTGAAAAGCCATGTAAAGGAAAACCTCCGATGGCTATTGTGAATGGATCGTAGTTGACAGTCGTAAACTATGAATGGAAAGGTAACTTGGAACGAGTGAAGAGTGGTTTTATTTGGCAGAGAGAGAAAAAGGCGGAGAAGACTGTCGATAAGGCTTCCATCGGAGCGCTGATTGGCTACAAATAGAATTACAGTCACACACGGTTCTTTACCCGCAACTTTTCACGTGTTACGCAGATGATAGTGGGTATCACTCGCCTCATTTACATTACCATTACTTGCAGGTACTGTACTGGAGGAACGAAAATATTGAGGTAGTACTACCTGTTCGTCTACCTTGCAGTGATGAGACACATGGATGTAAGGGAAAAAAGAAATAAACCACTTATCGCCTCACAGTTGTCATGAAACCACGCAACATGATTCTGACCTACATAAGCCTGCTCACAGGCCAAGTTGGTGGTAGGCGATGGACCCGACTAGACCAACTTAGTAGTAAGCCTTCCCAGATCGTCACTGATGTGCAGCCACGAGTGGAGTGACTCTGGTAGAAATCGGAACATAAGATACCACAATTCACCACTCGTGGTAATTCTTCCGGATCATCATCCGTATGCGCCTCCACGCACATTGCCTTTGGTAAGAGAAAAAATTTTTTTTAAAACAAACTCTATCGATTGAATTTGGAATTGAATTGGGAAATTATTACCAGTCATGGCTACTACTGTATGTACCTGTAGCGTCATACTTATCTAGGTTCGTGTATATGAACACAGCAAACTCAAAAGTATCTCAGGACGACGATCAGATCAACTTGACCAGAAAGTAAAAAAAAAAAAAAAAAGAGTCAAGACAGAGGAGTTGTGCAGGGCCACCAATAGACATTCAGGGAAAAGGAAAAAGGAAAAAGGATTAAAAAAAAAAGAAAGGAAGAAAAGGTTACCAGTCTTCATGTGCCACGTTCACAGAATAATCAAGTGATCAGTCCCAAACATGCTGCTGAAGGATTCAAAGCAGAAAATCATTTCGCACATTAATAAACGCCCCAGCGCCGCCTTCTTCACTGATTTCATTGACCAGCACTTCTGTCTGTTGGTAAAGCCGCTCCAGAGCAGCTGATGATGATTTGCCAAGTGAAACTACACGTAGGTTAGTCGGGATCCACTTCGCACGAACAACAGATGATCTGAGGGAAGTACCTAAAATCGCCGAATTCAACTCCTCTGCAACGGCAATGCGGCCTGCAGGGTCCAGGTAATGCCCGTGGACTGACTGCTTCGGATCAGGATACGCCACCAACGAGAAAATGTCATCCAGCATCTTCTTGTTCCCTCCGCGCTCGTCATTCGGATAATCTAGACGTAATTGTTGCCCATACTGGACGGCTTCGGTGAGGAGCTCGTTGAACTTCGCAGCGTTTTCGGGCTCTTCCGTATCCATTCCGTCGGCGTTCCAGCCGCCACCGTGGTGCACCTGTTCGTCAAGCTCCATCTCCTCGTCGAAAATGGCACTGCCATCAGCAAGACCATTAGATGACTTCTCTCTCTTCGATGCAGCCCAGGAGGGCTCGTTGCATCTACGCATCATTTCCAAAAATTTCCGACATCGTAACTTGAAGTGAATATGAGGGAAGTTCTGCAGAACATTGGCGTAATAAGCATTAGTATACTTCAGTGCCTTGTCGATATCGCCATCCAATATCGCTGCTCGAATTTCTGCGTAGAGTTAGTGCAAATTATCTAATAAAGTCGGGAACGCCGCACTTTGCCGGTTGATCGCTTCAACATCTTCCTCTACCTCATACTTCTTCAGTGGCTCCGTACGCCCATTTTGCAGCGCTGCCGACTCTGCAGCGACCTCTTCTGCAAAAGCCCGAGCCGTTTCAACATATCCGTCATGAGCCAGGAACTGTGCAACCAATTCTTGGAGCAAGGCAGACTCATCTAAGGGTGGCTGTAGGTTAGCGGTGCTGGTAGCACGAATCTCTGAGTGAATGGCAAATTTCTCTTTCTGCATTTGATCAGTAATATTCATACTGCTGACAAGATGCACGCTACACACCTTAACCATGCCATCAATGTCGAACATGAACGGGTGTTGGCCGAAGTTTGCCGCCAAATGCACAGGGGGCTGTTTTTTCATCCCCACCGAGGGGTAGACCTTTAGGTTTCGCAATTCCCGAAAGGCATTACCTAGCTGTCGTTAGCTTTCATTGAGATTTTTCCCTGTCGCGAGGTCATTACCCAGAAATACGCCATTTTTAGTGAAAAATGCACAACCCGTCGAAAAATTGACACCGCAGCCCACGGTATCGTTTACACCAAAGGTAGGACCGTATTGTCGTCCTTGCCCTTGACTTTCACCGAAAAATGACTTGCCATCGTCACCATGGTACGCCCAGGATTCTTGCTCCCATCCCGGGAGACGCTCAATCGACGCTTTATTACTGGAGAACCCGATCCCGATCATTCTGTTACGGTAAGTATATCTCCCAGAAAAGAAAATACGGACAGATAAATGGAAGAGAAAAGGAAGACAATCATATCCTTCTAAAAATGATGTGAACATACCCCTCCTTAGGTTTGGATAAAATCGTAATTTCAAAATAGTAGATCCCGCATTGCGGCGGCATCGGGTTATCCGCACGCACGGCAGCAGCTTCATGGTCGTGTTTATTGACTGGGCCAGTATACTGGACCTCCAATCCCCCGCTTGTGAGCTCCAGACCAGAATATTTGTCTCCATCATTCCACTGTGAAGGAAGCGGCATAACGTGTTCGTCATCGCCAGGGGGTTCCCTCTCGATGATATCATAGGTCATCCCACGATGGGATGGTGTTATACGCGGCAAGCTCGCCTGGCTGGAGGAGGTAGAAATGGGATTCGACGTTGACGAAGAATAAAGTGCATCCCGTTGGGACGCCAGCTTGGCTCGACGGGCTGCATCGAGGCGGGAGATGTACCTGGAGTTGCGCAGGTATGATGGTGTAAATGAAGACGATGCAACGTCGGAGAAGCTGCCGGGATTTTGAGGGAAGGGATCAGAACGAGTGAAGCTGGCGTATTTCCGGGAATAAGGAGGAAGTGTATCGCCGGACGACATCCTCCATGGGGAGTTCATCTGCATGTCTGCATCCAGGTCTGCGGATGGCCTCAGATGGCGGCCGTCGGGATGAAATGGTGGGGGGTAAGAAGTGGAGTTCGAAGGAAGCAGTTGCGAGAACGGACCACTGTTGCTTGGTGGCGAGAGCGCAGTTCCAGACAGGACGGAAGCATAGGATGAACGACGGGGGATGGTAGAGAGGCTTGGGCCGGAATATGTGGTGGCTACAGGAGCTCCTCGAGCTCCACTGGACGGGGGAAATGGTGCATCGGTCATATTGGAGTCGTTCGTTGGATGGAGCCAAAGCCAACGGCGGGCGGGTACTTAGTGATGAGCGGGGAGGGTCGACGAACATACACAACACTCTCACGCGAGCGGCTCTCGAAGCTCGAATGACTGAGGCGATAGTGAAATGCGTAGCATTTGTCAACGTTTATCGATAACTTGCTTCGTCTATATTTTCTGCGTCTTCTTTTGCTCTTTTGTCTGCGTTCTTTTGGATTATGGTCTCTCGGACGGGTCACTTGGTTTTCCGTAAACGGCAGTGGAGCACAACAACCAGAAGCCTAATATTCGCTGTTGACTCTATAAAAAAAAGTACCTCAAGACGATCTCTCGTTGGTATCGGAATATTTGAAAGAGTAATAAGATCACCCAATCTAGGAAAAGACTGGGATTCGCAGTTACAATGAAGTTGGGAAGAGACCAGATAATGGGAATTTAGGAAGCGTCTTGTGTGACGGGAAAGGGGAGGAGAGACAATAATGCCTCAGGAAGTTGTCTGATTCCGTACTACAAGGGAAAGAGTCACGGGGCCACGGGTTTCAGTCTATTCGTTTACTAAGAGGAAAAAGAACATGATGGCATGACAGGAATGTGGCTGCGGGGGGAGGGAAGGGAAAAAAGCACGGGCGCCCAGAGCTTCTGGAGAAGAGTAAAGAAAAAAGTATTCATAGGTACATCGACCTCCATGATGTATGTACTAGTACTTTATTACTACTGGTACTGACTGCACTTTCAATGAGGAGAGATGAGGGGGGTACCCTCTACTACCACCTTTCATTTAACCAGCTATGGCTCTACCAAATTGGGTCTGGGATTAGAGTACTCATGAGCGCACTACTACTATATATCCATGCAACAAGATTCCTCTGACGGTGTCCGCATATCCCAGCATATTCAGTATGATTTGCTGAGACCCCCTCCTAATAACTATGCATCCATCATCCGGCTTAGGCTAGCTAGCAGCTGATCTGTTCCTCTCTGGTCAGCAATCACTCCTACAATTACCGGCCACCAGAACGGCTAGGGTTTCGGGTTCGTTCCAGATGAGATGTTACATCAAATATTGAAAATACCACTATCATCTCTTACATTCATGGCTGGCCAAGAGAGGAAAAGAATGAACCCTACGGAGTAGAATCGGTCGATCTAAGAAAACGTGAATATCAAACTCGTTCATTCTAGATGAATCACTTTGAATCGTAAATTCCTTGCCTACCCTACTGATACGCCGAGTAAGCAACCCGGTTGCATCTGTAGATCTATTCCCAACGTTTTCCTGATACAATAAACATCCCCCACATGACCTTGGTAGAGGGGGTAACTCGGATCTTGCGTAAAATCCCAAATCCAGCAAACATAATAGTACAAACAAAGAACTATAGTGGGACAAAGACAAATAAAAAGGCGATTGAGCGTGCAAACTCTGGCGTACAAAGCCAGGAGCAGGTGATACTTCTCTGTCAGTGGTTAGTTATATGACAGCGAACAAAGAGGTAGCCCAGTATGGGAGCGAAAGATAGAGAATTTCCCAAACGCCAATCCAAACCATAAATAGGTTGAACATGTAAACAACGCTCCAGAAACCATGGAAAATGAAAGATAGAGTGAAAATAATGTACACGAATGATGATGGCCGAATCAGATTATGGGTTTGAGCCTATGCGGCCATAGCAATGGCAGGTGAAGATGCCTCTGCGATATTCGGAGGGACCGGGGTTAGGTCTCCATCACCGGAGTTGCTCTTCTCGCTAGGAACTCCGCTGGCGCTTTGATTCGCCTTGCTATCGCTATCACCGGTCTCCAAGACAGACTCCTTACTTTCGCCATTGTCGTCTGTTTTCTGAGGTCGAGGAGTTCGCCAGGTCGGCAACTGCCACTGGATTCCAGTGAAGCTTTTCAGTTGCAAAGACTTGCGTTCCCATTTGCGGCATGGAGCACCCGAACGATCAAGGGCGCGAAGGCCGGCATTAATGGCGCCGGTGTTGGCTTTGGGGCCCAACCTATGGGATGCTGCAATTTTGATGGGTTCGGAGGTACCGTCATCACTATTCACCCCCAAGTTAGCATGTGCCGTTTGTAGTGTCAGCTAGGGAGACAACAAAGACTTACAGTCTAGGCTTCTTCTTCGGACCAGGCTTTCCTCTCGGCTTAGGAGTTGTCTCGCTTATCTGGTTCAGAGCTCGTTTGACTCCAGGCTTAGGACCAGGTACACCTTTGCGACGGGGGGTGTCAGCAGCCGAAGTGCCCGCGGCCGGTGTAGATGCAGCATCCGATGCATTGTCGGACGGAGGGATAGGTGCTTCCACGGAAGATGACGCCGGGGAGGAGGGTTCCTTCTCCTTGACGGGGGAGACGGCTCTAGACTCGTCGTCCTTGATGCTACTCTTCTTCCTGTCCTTAACCTCTGGGGGAGGAGGACTGGCAAAGTGACTTAACAAGTCCGACGAGAGCTTGAGTACAACGACCCCTTTCGAAGAGGGCCCAGACCGACTGGAGCGACCGTTGGTGGCAGTAGCAGCGGGCATTTCAGCTCAATGGATAATCTGCCGATGTCGATTTTAAGAGGCTAGGGTAGAAGAAATGACAATTAGCCCCGATGGGTGTGAAGGGGAAGTAAAAGCCGTTGAGACGCGGAGTGGCAGTGTTGGTGGACGGTAGAAAGTTGGATATTATTTAAATGGCGATTGTGACGTGGGTGACGGACAAGTTGGTTGGTTGGAGAAGTGGTTCCAGACGTCAAACGCGGCGGCGCGACTTGGTCAGGGTGAGGCAAAAGTTTGACAAGGCTGATGGAGACAAGAGGAGCGAGGCACGAGTGACATAGTCCGGTTGGATAGTGACGATGATGAAGCGGGATGGTAGAGGATAGGAGAGGAGGAAGAGAGGGAGAGGGGCGGAGGGAAAGAAAAAGGACGGGGGATGGAAGAAAGGGATGGGGATGCGCCGTGTGGTGGTTTCATTGTTGGTGTGTGTTCATCTCGTCTACTAAGAAGGGAACAGCCAGACTTTCACACGCTCTCTCTGTTCTGTGCGGTCAGTCCAGTGACTGTCCAGGAGACGAGAAGCTGAACCTTCTGCGGACCGAATCACCCTAGGAATTTTACCGCCCTCGCGTCTCGTACCGTTTAATACGCGTGGCTCCCGTGGCTCGGGGTTAGGGAAACGTCATCGGTCGGGGGTTCCTGACTGTATGGGACGTTTAATTCAATTCATTCTATACTACCTAGGTCATCTATTAACTATGCCTATACAGTACATATTCTTTAGTATACGTATCTATTAATATTTCTTTTTTTTTTATCTTACCCTTGCTGATTGATTTCTAATTTTGCTAACTGACTGGGTTCAATAAACACTTTACTATCCACGAACAATAGTCTCATTCCCTAGACAGAGGAAGTGGACTCCTCACCATGCTCCATGCCCAGCCGAGTTAAATTAAGTCGTTCCATTCATCCTAAAATCTGAGAAAGAAGTGGGAAAGTATTGAAAGTAATACATACCTATCCATCCTACCGAGGAACAAAAAAAGAAAAGAAAACGAATGAACCGTATATCTATAATCAGACTCGTATCCACCTTACAAGTTACAACTTTTTTTTTTTTCTCTTCCCATCGATCAAGTTATGGATCGCCAGTCCCGCTTATTAGTGAGGTAGACTTTTTGGCACGAACTTCCACCGCTTCCGTCCGGGTTTATTTCGCAGGTATGTAGTACGGGTATTCATTTCTAACAAGTAATTACCGATCCAAAAGTTGAAAAGGACTATACAGTAAAGAGACTCGTTCGGGGGATGACCTAACCTGGATCATTCGTACCCTTTTACCAGGATAGAGACCTTCTATACAGAGTACTCGACATAACACCTGATATCTACGCATAGACTACAGAATACGAGACCGATGATATGTCTACACTATTAAGTGGACCGAGTAGAAACATCCGTTGTGTTTGTGTTGTCAGATGATAGACCTAAAATGTCTGGGGGCACATATGATGTTGCCTATTCAGGAAACTAAAACGACTACCTACGTGACTAGTACTAAGTAAAAAGGTAGTAAGACTTGAACCAAGAAATCCCTCCCGACCGGTTCGCCACAAACGGAACACAATCACACAAGGCACTCGAATTACTAAATCAGAAAACCGCGCAATGGCCGGGAAACGGGCTTAATGTCCGGGTTATCCGTTCCCATTGATAATCCCCAACCGCCGAGAGTTATTCGCTCAAGTAATCGAACGAGATAGGAATTAAAGGGCTCAATATTAATCCGAGTCCATGGAACCTGCAAGTTGGGGCGAAATTGCCTCACCTCCCATCTCACATCAGATCTTTCAATGTACAATATCAAATACTATCGGTGCCCATCTACGGCGAGAATATCAATCTCTATAACAAAACATGACCTGTAATGAGCTTATCAGATATAATACTGCCGAGTCACTTGAATTCATGTACAATTAACCGCCCATCCCCAACTCCAGCGCTAATCGGCCTTCTTGTCTTGCCTTTTCCGTTCAATCACCTCCCCGACAGCTTGCTGCACCCCTGGACTAGCTCGTACACTGCTCAGGACTAACCCCTCCTTCATGCCCTTGCGCAGCATGGCAACGCTCTCCCGATCGCCTTTAAACGGCGCAAATCCCAGCTGCAACAGCCGCGTCGACTCGCCATCTGTAGCCCGAGAGAGCTGAGCTAATTGCGCGAGGCGCTGCATGGTCTGCGGGTGGATACGCTCACCCGCTGCGGAAGACGACCCTTTGCTGACCTCTGGCGGTGTCACCTGCGAAATAAAGATATGTAGCATTACGGAGGCACGTTGCGCAAGAGTCAAGATCTGAAATGGTAGGAGATAGAAACTTGGCGTCTTCGTGGAAATGCCCAGCAACTTTTGTAGCTCCACAGGGATATAAGATGCAGGGAAGAATAACGCTCTTGGCTGCGTGATCAAAGCTAGTTCAAGAGTGATCAAGGCAGCGAAAGTAAAGAAGCGCCACTGTGCACGGTTAGGAGGGGACAAGCAGCAACAGAAGGTGATCACTCACATAACGACCCCAGTTGGACCACCAGGTGAAGTTCAAAATGATAATGGTCACGAATCCTCCCACATACTGCGGTATCGACCGCTGTAACCCCCTAAACAGAAAGTCTTGCACGGTCTTGACATTACCCCAACCAAGAATATCGGGTCCAAATCTATCATATGCAAACCGCTTCGCAGGATCCAGTAAGGTCTCTTGCGCCAACTTTAAATATACAAAGTAGTCGTCGGAAGGAGTGCCATCCCCTTGGTTAAACTTGTCTGGATGATGCTGCGCAGCAAGGCGCCGGAATCGCGATTTAATAGTCCTATCATCGGCTAGTGGAGAGACCCCAAGAGCTTTGTAAAAATCACCGGCAGCCTGGACCCGATGAAATGTCTCATAGAGCGTGTAAAGGAGATAGCTTGTCACAACCAGCATAAAGATGCGACGGCGATGTCGGGCATAGCGCGGAGAGGGGGGTTGGGGTCGAGGTTCACCCGCGCGAATGGTAATTCCGTAGTAAATATTCTGAACTATGGAAGTCGCATACTATATCCCACGTTGTCAGTAATGGCCATAACGTGCTGCGTGGAGCTTAACGGGAACCTGGGGAGGAAAGGTGAAGATAACACTCACATTTGGTAGAAATGCCCAACCAGCAAGAGACAACAGAGAAGCCATGGAGATATTACAGTCCCGTGCTTGTAGGCAGCACGGGAAATCAACCACTTTTAATTTTATACAAAAGAGTTAGCGCCATGAAGCACTATCGCATGTTGTCTTCTTCCATGGAGTTGTGACTTGACGCCTGCCTTGAAACTTACCGCCCCAATCACCGCCTTCTATTTCCCCACATGAGCAAAGAAGGAAAAGAGAAAAAAAAAAAAAAGTTCTCGACATCTGAAAAATAATCGGATATCAATTCTCGAAGATACTCCACAGGCGCACCCATTGCGCCACGATCGAACACAATGGCCGTCGACGCGATGGAAATCGATTCGGACCAGGTCCCAATTGCCGTACCTTCCCCTGAAAAAGAGCGCAAGCGCAAGCACAAGAACAAGGATGTATCATCCTCATCCCCGTCAAAGAAGAAGCGCAAGCACGAATCGAGCCAATTCACCGACGAAACTGCCGCTCATGACAGTGAAAAGAAGAAAAAGAGCAAGAAGTCTAAGGATAAGGCGAAGATCAAACAGGCTGGCACAGAAGAAACAGCAATTCCAGGCTCGCCTTTTGTTCTGACCACCGCAACACTCTATCTTCCTCTATCGCCCATCTCGATTTCCCCGACTCATGCTAAAGCCTCCCTTCTGGCGGAACATCTCTCCCCTCTCCTTCTTACTTACTATGCTCCCCTTCAAGGAATCGTTCTGGCCTACTCTGATGCCTCGATATCGAGTACTCCGCCATCCCCATCTACGTCCTCTGATCCCGCAGATCCCAACCCGAAACCATTAACACTCGCCAAGACAGCAGGCGAATACGGTGTGCTGTACGTTTACCTGACTGCAACATTTCTGGTTTTCCGGCCACAGAGAGGTCAAATTCTCGAAGGATGGGTCAACGTCCAGTCCGAAGGCTTCCTGGGCGCCGTTGTGCTCAACCTCTTCTCCGTCGGTATTGAGCGCAAGAGACTCCCCACGAACTGGAAATGGGTCCCACCAGGTGAAGAAGGCAGCGTTAGCGGAGACCAGCAAAAAACAACCACCGCATCCGAAGATGATGAATCCGAACCGTCTGCCTCCTTCGATCAAGAAAAAGAGCACTTCAATCCCGTCTCGTTGGCAAACCCCGTCTCCGACACCCTCAATGAAGAAATCAATGCTGAGGACGACGAGTCTGCTGCAGAGGGCTACTTCCAGTCTGTATCTGGTCACCGTGTACGCGGCACTGTCCGTTTCCGAGTCGTCGATGTCGACGTCATCCCCGGTTCGGAGCGCGATCGCAGTTTTCTTAGCATTGAGGGCACGATGCTCTCCCCGGAGGAGGAAGCCAGAGTGCTTGAAGATGAGCGTAACGGTATCTTGACCACGTCTGCCACCCCACGGAGGGGACTTAGTCAAGAACCCCGGGTTTCCATGTCCGGCGCACTAGCAGCGCCATCGGTAGCTGCTATCCCAGAACCAGAAACTCCCAGCAAGACCAAGGAGCCGAAGGCCGAGAAGGAGAAGAAATCCAAATCATCCAAGTCCAAGAAGAAAGAAAAGAAGGAGAAATGATCTATGAATCGAGTTTAACTCTGAGCTTACTCCGTCTCGATTAAATTCAATCAAGTTATGTTTGTGTATAGAAGTTAGCATTTCATGTTCTATATTATTATTATTATCATGTTGGGCGTTAGAGGGAGAAATCAAAACTTATTCTGGAAGTATATATGCGACCCTTACGGAAGATATATATCCGCGTGATGAACTTCTTATACAAAGCTGGACCAATCGACAACGCTGGCTTTTTGATCAAATGGTGCAACAAGCTGACAATATATATAAATCGGTGACCATGCAAACCTTTACAAATTCAGCTAACCAGCTCACTCATGAATTGAAAACAACCAAGGAACTGTACTATTGCGAGCGGTCTATATTATTTAAATCTTGACACCCTCCGGCAATCCTACTTTCAAGACATCAACACCATTCTCAATCTGCGACTTAGACGGCATATTCTTCCGGCGCATCAACTCCGCACACTTCACCATAATGGGATCCATGCCCATTGTCGCAACAGCGACCACTGTATCGCCCTTACAGTAGTACGCGGCGAACTTGGCGTTCTCGGGCTCACCCTTCAAAACGAGGCTATCCCAGCCGTTGGGGGTATTACCGCAGTACCGCAACTGAGCGCCCACGGCAGACCAGAAAATTGGGATGAAGGCCTTCGGTTTCAGGGATTGTAACGATGAGGCTGAGTTTGCGAGGCTATGAACAATAGCGCGGGCGACGCCGCGGCCAGCATTTTGCGCAACGTTCCAGTGTTCGATGCGAGTGTGGGTGCCCTTTGGGTCCGTCCCGGGGCCATGATAAGGGTATGTGGCAATGTCACCGATGGCAAAGACATGGTTGTCTAAACCAGGGACAGCGAAATGCTCATCAGTTCTGATTGAACCGTCATTCTCTAAAGTAATGGCCTGATTGTTTTTGAGGAAGTCGGTTGCTGGACGTACGCCGACACCCAAAATGACTAAGTCGGCTTCGAGGACGGTACCGTCGTTGAGATGGACAGCCCCGACCTTGCTGGAGTCCGAACTAGAAGGTGTGGCTTTCGCAACGCCGGCCTGCAGCTTGAATTTGACACCCGCCTTCTCCAGATTACCTTGAATGATTCGGCCGACCTCCTCACCCAGGACGCGTTCCATAGGGGCATTTTCTTGACCGACAATGGTGACATCGTTCTCTTTGGCGAGTGCGTTGCCCACCTCCATACCAATGAATGAACTACCAATGACGACTATCTTCTTGTTCTTCTCGCCTACTGCCTTGAGGATGGACTGTACATCGGTGACAAAGCGCAGGAGGAAGATGTTGCCTAATTCATTGAAGCCTTCCACGGGGAGAGTGCGTGGCACACCACCAGTAGCAAGTACCAGCTTGGTGTACGGGTATGTCTTGCCCGACTTAGTGGCCACAGTCCTCTTGTTGAAGTCCACCGACGTCACTTCATCAGTGACCGTTTCGACGGAGACGCTCTCGTACCACTCACGAGGGCGCCACTCGATCTTCGAAGGATCTGAGATCAGAGCTTTGGACAACTTGGTTCTGTCAATAGGCAGATTGGGCTCTCGAGAAATGATGGTGATGTCACCCTTGTATTTCAACTCGCGAATGGCCTCGACGACACCAAAAGTACCGCTTCCACTGCTTGGTGTTAGATCTACTGCCACTAGGAATGATGCATACGTTCAGAGATCTTACCCTCCTACAATGACTAACTTCTCTGGAGCGGACGCACTGCACCGGGCAACCGGATCCCTTTGACCGGACTTAATGGTCGACTCCTCTCCCTTGATATAGACCGCACCATTCTTCTCGAAGACTTCAAACTTATGCAAAGCCTTGGGAGCGGGTGCGTCCTCAACATCACCGGTGCTGATATTAAAGCATGCTACGGATAATAATCAGTCCACAATGTCCTCTCAACCAAAGCCAAACGTGGCAGACTTACCTCCATGCCAGGGGCAGGTAATCCGTCCCTCCGGAGCAACAACACCAAGTTTCAATGGCGCTCCGTAGTGGGTACATCTAGGACTCATGGCATGAAATTGACCTTCATAGTTCACCACTAGGACCTTACCATCCTCTATGCCCTCCACTTCGGACTCCACCTTGTCCATTTCCTTGATGTCCGCCAGGGATGAGATGTCCTTGAGTTTGTATTCTTGTGCCATTTTTGCTGTGGTGTGTGAGAGTTTACAAGATCGTGTTGAAGAGAATGGCCGACTATGGATGGAAGTTTTCTCGGTAGGTAGTATGAGACGTCTAAACGGGAATGGGGTAGATGGAGAGCAAATGGAAGAAGACGATGATGACCTAGCGGACGTGAAGCGGCGTGAGTGGGCTAAGGGGAGTGAAGTTGGATGGGCGCAGCACGAGCAAGAACAGAAGGTAGAATTGCGACAACCACAACGGCAGCGGGGATGGAAGGGAGAATAAGAAGAGGCAAGCAGGATATGACGAGGAGAGGATAGCGAGTAGAAAACAGGCGATGAGAAGCTGTTGCGTGCCCCGCGAGAGAGGGGTACGTGCATTAGGATTGGGCGAGTTCAATTGATTCGAAAGAGTACCTTCCTAGGTCAGGTGGGAAGGTAGTGTGGGAATTATCTAGATGTCTGATACTAATTCCCTAAGGGAATTGGATGTACTAAAGCTTATAGAGAAGAGGAGAGAGGAGAGATTGCCTTGATCTGGATCATTTGTTTTCTTGCCTCTCTGATCATGATTATTTCATACTAGTATTGATTTCGTTGATTTATTGATAGCAATGCCATGACGTAAACGGTCAACCAATCAACGACCAGGTTTTGTCAGACGTCATCAACGTCATCCCTTCCATCCTTTTCACTAACGTAAGCTATACACAGGATATCTCTTCATATGTACCATACCATAAACACACACATACACACATACATATACTGATACAAGCCTTTGGGGGTCCAGAACCATCAATGCTGGACACTAGCACTAGCCCCTCATGGCGCAAGAGGGCACCAACCAAGAAGGAAAGATCAAGCCGTCATTCGCTTAGGATTTTGGCCTGCGCTTTTTCTCCCGCCGGGGCGATGGACTGATGCTGACCTCTTTCATGGCCTCTACTTTTGGCCCCGCTGATGACAACCAGGTTTGTCTGCGGGTGCTGGGGATATTCTTGTGCACCCATCCTGGGTCTCGAGAAAGCCGACGGGTCCGAGCAAAATCCTGGTCATTGCCTCCGGCAGACCGTGCAGGGCTGGATTGAGTCAAGTCGATTATTTCGTGGGACGCCGGGGAGTCCTGAGCGCCTGGGATCTTCTGCTTGTCCCGTGGAACACCGCCCATGGGGGCGCTGACCAATGAATCATCTTGCGACGGGTAAGACTTCCTTTTCCTCACCCTCGCTGACCGGCGTGGAGATGAAGAAGGGAATTCTACTGCCGACACATAATCCATTGTTGTGTCTCCTTCCTTAGTGCTAGATATCTGCTTCTGAGAACTACGTCGACGTCGGGTTTCGCGGGCTTTGTCGATTTTGTAAAACGGATTGGGAACGACGGAATCAGTCGATGACCGAGACTCCGGTCTTTCCGGGAGTTGACTCACTTCCCTCTTGACCGGAGGGGAGTTACTTGTCTCTTCGTCGCCATCGAACAGCTGGTCCATCAGGCGGCTGAACGAAACTCCACTCCCTGGGGTGCTAAGCATCTGCAGATCGTCGTCCGATGGGGGTAACGACGAGAAATTATCAGGAAAAATGGGAGGCGGAGATGAGTGGGACATAGACTGAACATCTTTGCCCGGAAGCGAGTGAGGGTCGGAGCGACTGCTGTCAGAATCATTCGCTTTCCGATCTGTAGCGGATGACGCCTCATGGACTAAGCTATCCTTCAGCAGTTGCCCTGATGTTGGGCTAGAGGACTGGAACCCATCAAACCTCGGTGACCTGATCTCAGGACTGGCATCTCGCGCAGAGGCATGTATGCCATCAGTCGTACTGCTTGTAGATACCTCGTGAGCCAGTTTGTTGAGCCGCTTGCCAGATTCCTTGATTGTCTGTTCATAACCTGCAAGCCCGCCGGACGCCCCAGGTTGGCTTGTAGCCGGACTGGGGTTTCGCAGAAATAACTCTGGGGAGCTTGGTCGGGTGAGCGCATGATCGCGAGGCAACTCGAAAGTAAAAGGAGATCAATGTACTGACTTGCTGGTCTGCTTAGTCTTCTCAGGTTCTGCAGGCCGAAGAAGCTTCGGGTCAATAAGATCGGCAAAGGACATCTCTCTGAAGCCGTCATCTTCACCTTCGTCTTCATAGCCCGGCATTTCAAACCCACTGTACTGAGGTCCATCTTCCTCAACTTCTATTTCTTTGACCTGTCTGCGGTCTCGCTTCGCCAGTCGGAGATTGAGGGTCTTATCATCATACACGTCATATATCTCCGCAACTCGAAAATCGGTCACGGTAGGTTGCCAGTTTGTGGCTTTAGACACTTCCAATTGTTTAAAAGCAAGTACGCATCCACATTTCAAGTCGTCTTCAACAAGGTCGCGAAGAGAGCTTGGGTCACTAGGGACTGAAGGCAGATCACGTGAATTTTCCTCTGCAGTCTGCGCAGCTTCATGATTGTTTGCCTCGCTGTATAGTTCCGAGTCATCGTAGTTGGCTTGCAGATCACCGTCGACAAAACTGTTCTCACCACCCCCATAATCATCTTCTTCCCCATCGTAGACTTGGAGTTGCTGGCGCCTTTTCCTCTTCTTTCCTAAGCCCTTGCGTTGTCTTATGAGGTCACCAGCTTCGTAATCCCAACGCTGCTCGAAAGGGAAAGGAGGTGCCGTCAGTTGAATGTCATCATAAACGCACTCAGTAGCTCTAATTACAAGTTTATTTTCCCAGTCCTCGTCCAAGTCACTTTCAGGAGCACCAGTAGGCTCATCAGACAATTTCTTCTGAGAGACGAAATTATTCGCCTTCCCCGCGAGCTTCTTCCGAGTAGCTTCCTCGTCTTCTTTGGTCCGCGGCGTTCTAACACCAAGGGAGCCGAAGAGTAACCTTCGGGAGCTTGCAACATCTAGGGTTCGTCGTTTTGGCTCTGGGCCGACTTCGCCGGCCTCCTCTATAGCAGCTTCGTGCTTCTTTGCAAGCTCTTTAGGCTGCGACTGGTTGCTTTCCTCGGCCGGCTTTAGAGGGGAAAATGTGCCGTCGTTGATGTCGATGCCCCCTGAGTCAATATCACGAAGCAGCTTTTGCCGTCTTTCCTCGAATTCGTCCAACTCAGGGCCTTTATTAGAACCTGAGTTTTCAGGCATAAAACGCTGACCTTTATTCTTGTCCTCCCAGTCTCGCAGAGCAGCAAAATCTGCCTCCGCGGGCAACGCACCAAGCTCCTTCAACTTTGACAGTCTTCGTCGCATTTTGTTGCGTTGATTGCTCTTCTTCGTTCTTACGGAGCCATGGCCAGGAGGGTTGGCCACGAGTGGGGCGGTTGATATCTCTTCGTCCTCCGACTCTGAAGTTGAAATGCTTGAATCGGAGCTAGAATCATCACTTGATTCGGAGGAATCGTCTGAAGAACTCGAGTCCCCACCCGAATCTGTGTCACTAGAGTCACTCACAGAAGAGCTGCTGGCACTGTCGCTTGAATTGGAGCTTGATTCCGAAACTGACGGTGCTTTGATTATCAAAGATTCTTGGGAAGGAAGCATCGGCGATTCCTCTTTTTGCTGACTGAACCTAACCGATTTTGAATCCCTTCGGGAGGACCTTCCATCTGGGGAAGCCTGAATGGCCTGTGCCACTGAACCCCTAATTGGTGCTGCATGCGAGGTACTCAGCCTTGAGCGCAACGCATAGCCTCTGCGTTCAGTCTCATGTTGTTCATCATCCGTCGGCTCGGTTTCTGGCATGGCTGAGATATCCAAATCCTCCTTTAGATCCTTTAACTCATCTTCCAAGTCTCTAGCATCGATGTCAGATGCATCTGCACCACTCTCTGATGCTTCGGCATCTTCAGTGTTATCTACGTGATGGCGAATAACGGTACCGTTGCCAGCATCCTCGTGGCTCTCATGATAGTCCTCATATTCATCCTCGTCCTCATCGTCATTATACTCCACATTGCCATCCATAATACCAGTTTCAGGCTCATCAACGCCTCTGAGAGTAGAAAGTTCTTTGAAAGAGCGAATTCGCGGAAGAGCCCACTCAGTATCCTCCTCGTGATACCCGACTACATTGTCTTGTGTCGCAAATGTAGTACGTCTTCTCTTACGTGGAGGGATCGTGATTGCAGGTCTTGAAGAGACCGGTCGTTTCAGAAAAGGTTTTCCAAAGGGGACACCGTCTATGAGGTGTTTGCCATCGGTCGAGATTTGATGCCGCCCGGTCAGTCGCCTAGCCCGTAAGTCGGATATTTGTAGTGCGCGAATCCTTGATTGGTCGGGTGTAAGTAAACATCACTGTAATGCATGCTTTGTCGTTGCCTGGTAGTATGATGGGGTCCAATTACTCACAAGATTTCGTCGCCATCTCTTAAAAGACCTTCCACCTCCATGAAATGTAGACACTCGGAGCCCCCAACTTCAACTACATAGTCTTCAAGTCCCCATTGCCCACTGAACTCACTGTCAAACAGTGCCGGCTCCGTCTCCAGAGGAACAACCTCATTGACATCTTCCAGGAGCTGAGCAATAGTATAGCCACCATTCGCATAGAGCGCATTAGGCGCGCGTGAAGAGGTAATAGCTGAAGCAAACGCGGGGAGAGCAGTCGATGTATTCTGACCGTATAGAGACGGCGATGCCGTCGTCCACAGAATGCGCGTTACGGGTAGACCGTGGCGTTGAATAATGAGGTGGAGACGCATGATGGAGACTTTTTGATTAATGTCTCTTTTTCCTTCGAGATTATTAAAATAAAATCATTGAGATATAGCTCTAGTGAGGCAATGTAACATGTAATTGTAATAAATGCTTCTCGTGTGATAGAAGCTCCGTTGACTGATCGCGTCGGGTACTCTCACACTTATGTAGTGGAACAAGCAGCTCGGACCTTCTGGCAAGGGGGAGAAGATGCAGGACCGATAATTTAATTCGCCAGAGATTATTAAATCAGTATGGAGCCAGCGAATCAATCGGGAAGAGCATATCGTGGCAAGAGAAATTTCATGGGGCGCGTGAAGTGATACAAGAGAAGCTCGACAAAGAGAAGCAAAGCTCGCTTTTCCGAAATATCGCCCTAGACCTGATTCGTCCCACTAGTGCCTAAGGCCAACACAAGATTTACTGTTGCGATATCACTCACCGCAACTTAAGATTTACTAATAGTAGCGCAGGCAAACATGGACGGGAAAACAAACAATGAGATTTTCAGCCTTACTGTATTCTACTCCCTTATAGCTTAGTGAGCAGGTGCACTGCTGCTGCGTCGCTCATGATGCCTATACTATCTGGTATATGGATGGAGTTGAGGGTATAATCTAGAGAAGTACATGTATGTAGAATGACATTACGATTACTATGTATAACATGTACGAGTAGAGATAGGTGAATCACAAGTGTTCTATCCATAGAGAAGATATGACATCGAGGACTCACAAGGAAAGACAGAAAAAGGAAAGTGCCCATAGAAACTCCCGTAGATGCATGTCTGAGCCGCGTATCACTTAAGACAGACAACAATGGAGCCAGTGTGTCATTTGATGCTGTTCGGAGCAAGTGCTACCCGTATTAAATTCCTCAAACAGTTTACTTTGGTGTTGTCTCACCTAACACTTACCCTAGCCCAAACAAGGGACCCTAGGGTTGTTGAAAGTTGAGTTGACTGATAGAAATTCATGTTCAGGCATTAAATAAGCCTATTGAATGAGTGATCCCAGGAGATCAAGCACCTCCGGAGTTTGGACTTCGGGGAACAGGCTTCCTGTTGGGAACACCTAGTTTTAGAGCCCGAACATCTGGCCTGGGTGAACTTGGCTGTGCTTGGCTTCCGGGCGACTGCAGTTGGTGGTCTGCTACAGGCTGATATTGGGGTGGACTGTCTTCCTGGAGAGCAGCGAGTTTGTGAATTTTGAGCACACTTTGTTGCCGTGCGACGGGAGATGTAGGGGGAGACCCGGTTTGTGGTTCAGGAGGAGTAGACGGAAGCATGTCGAAAGACTCAGACGAGGAGTTCGCTTCACGGTTGCTGTAGGGCGTCTGAGGCTCAGGATCCTTTGCCGAGTGAACTGGCGTGCCTGGATCAGTTCCAAATTCAATAGGTCTACCGGTGGAGGAGGCAGCTGGTGGGTTATACTCGCGACGGGGGCCATCCACAGGACTCAGAGTTTCAGCCATTGCGTCCTCGTAACTCGGGGGCGCGTCGTCGTAACCATCCTCTGGATTCATAGGCGCGGGAGGTCTAGTAGGCCTCGGAGGCATCGGAGGCGGTGCACTGGTTTCCTGGGAAGGTCGGCTTGGCTTGGTAGGGGAAACTGCTGGTTGAATGTGCCCGCCTTCAGCCATGGCGTCCAGAAGCGCCTGAGGCGGGGCGATTCCAGAGTAAACCTTGACAGGCATTCGTAACGGTAGTACAATGAGTTGGGACTTGTATAATTAGTGGATGCGCATAATGAGGCGAGGGGACTGGACGTACTTTCATATTGCCGACAGTGCCATGACTCAAACCAACCCGCACTTCTAACTCATATGTCCTCGAGATATTGCAGGTTTCAAAGGTCGGTGCCACCGAGCTCGGGAGAGGTATGTGACTCCACATATTGGCATCGATAGTCCACTCAGTGCCGACTGGATCGCCTCCTCTCCCAAGTGGAATGGCCATATTACTGCGGCTGAAGATGACTGAAGTGTTGGTTTCATCCCGTTTTAGATCATGGGCAAGAATTCTGGTATAGCCGATTAACTCAATTTGCAGTGTCTGCAAAAATATCGTTTCATATGACTCCGAAGTTTTACTGACAAGGATACGTAGCGGGATTGGTTCGTTACATGTGAGTATCGAAGGATTTGGTAACCTGATGTCTGCAGATACGCGAGGGGAGTCACTCGAAGAATCTCGGAGAGACGAACTGGAGCCTTTTTGAAACAAACTCTTCATCTTTGATGTACTAGGGCCTTTCGCAAATTGATGTTGACGTCGTGCATATGTTTCTTCACCCGGATTGCCTGTCCTCGGTGGTTCAATGGGAAGGAAATTTATGTTGGTAAGCTATAAAAAAGTCAGCCTTCCAAGCGGATGTACCGTAGGTCATTTCACAATGGGGTTCATTGGAGTTGAAAGCTTGGTTTGCATCCTTCCATGACCCCGCACGTACCGTCCTTATGTTTTCTTTGTAGAACTGTGGCCTAACTACTGTCGCTTTGACGTAATATTTTATGTCTGCCATTTGAGGGAAGCCACTCAATGATGGAGGCAATGTTTTCTTCACATGTCGATGTGTATCGCGAGCTACCTCAACTTTGAGACCACTAATGTTGAGATTGGTGAGCATGCTATTCTGAAAGCTACATGCATTGTTGAAGGGAAACTAAGCTAAAATCAGCACATCTCGCCATGATAGGGCGTTGCTAATGTCTAGCCTACCTTGAATTGAAACGGATACTCGTAAGTCCCAGCAGCAAAAGTCCAAACGGTATTCGGAGTGTTCTCATTGAAGACAGCCGGTGTTGGGAAGAGATTGAGAACCTTGTATAAGATCTATCCCGTCCATGAGCAACGGTGGAAATGAGAGAAAGAAAATAGAAAGAAAAGGAGCGCCGTACCTTATGAACCTCAATCTCGGTGCGCTTTTTATCAGACTGCTCATGGTGCGGATGTCGCGGTCCTGAAAGGCGAGTTCGACTTTCTCCTTCTAATTTAACTTGGATTCCACTTATTTGAGTCTCCGAATTCAATTTTACCACAACCTTGCCCGTGAGGAAATCGAGGTTGGTAAAGTGCGTGTGCGGACTGTCGATGTAGAGAGTTGCGGACATTGCGGAAACACCTCGACTGCAAGAGGTCACCACTCTTCCAATGGACCGTCTCAGTAGTTGCTAGATTGAGGTGAAGAAATAAATATAAGCTCAGAAACCTCGGTCGGCAGCCGAAGAGTCTTATCAAGGCTGATCAAATATTGTGTGGAGCAAAAGATAATGACCAAAGGAGTTGGGGCGGAAATCCGGCAAGCCCTACAGACATATGGGGGGGGGGAAATGACGTTAAAAGTCAGGGACAAGAACAGCGCGCGTGGGGCAGCGGTTCACCAAAGTCTCGGCGCGTATCAATTATTGTAAAAGAAAGAGAAGGAGAAACAGACAGAAAGACGTAGACCAGACCGGTCCTATTTAATATAGCTTGTCTTAGATCATACGGTACAATTCGACAGCCTTTATTTAAGGGTCTGATTCATTTCAATGCTTTCATCAACGGGAGGATCGTCTAAGGGTCTGGTTACAATTTAATGGTTCTGGCCCGTCCATTTCATGTCATTGCCGATGGCTAAGCCACTCCCACACACCGTGCATGCAAGTGTTGCACCGCCACCTTCCGTGACATATTAAGCGCCCTACTGTGGACCTCTAACAGCAAACATGGACCAGTGATAGTAGTAAATGTCATGACTCCCCTTGAATGATTCTGATTGGGTATGAACAGTTTCTAGAATGAACTAAGCAGCCTAGATTCGAGCCCTCCGTGGGATATATACTCTAGGCACCAAGATTTTTCAGTAGCTTCTTAGCGCGCAAGAACATTAGAGACCCTCCTTAGCAAGCATGTCTGAGCAATCACATTGTACGGACCATCAGCCACAGTTACTCAAAACACGCTCGAATGGTTGCTACATACCTGCAATGGCAAGGTAGAACGCGATAGCATTGAACCTGAATCGCGCAATAACGTCAGCTACCCCAGCCGATTAAACGGATTTTGGGAACAGAGGACTACTAGACGGACCTTCGCCTATTTCCCGTGATCTCGCCAGCCAGCCACTTCAATCTGTTAGTCCAATTAATCAGGTCCAAGTGGTTCACGCCCATGAGGGTTCCCTTATAGCCGTCTTCCCCTCCCCACCTGCTACTGGCAACGCTCACTAGTCCGTCATTATGGCCTTCGACCTGCTCAAGGTACCTATGGGATAGGCGGAATACAGACCAAAAGCTTGGCTGCATGGACGCCCCATAAGAAAAGTATCTGCACGGACTCAGCCTTACGCTAGCTACTCACGGTGATGAGGAACACATACCGGACGTCTTCAACATCAGGAGTGGTAGGATTGAACGTCTTTTCCATGTAATCCCGTGTCAGCTGAGAGAAAGCACCCGTCTCAAACTTTATTTGTTCGAGAGCGTAATATACCTGAGCAAGACGCTCATCTATGAATCAACATCATGAGCTTCCTTGACATGTTAAGATTGGAGCGCCAAACAAACTAACCGCCGATCTGCTTTAGAATGTAGTCTGCAACTGCCGAGCCTGCGCTTAATTAGCCAGGCGTAGCTGTTTCATACTCATGCTGCGACTGACCTCTGTGAGGAGTTGCAATAGTCGTCAGAGACAGAACTTTAAAATCATTCGGCTGCAGACGACTGATCATATATCGTGAATCAAGCCCGCTAGAACATGGATCAATATTCTAAGGACTATTCGTTTGACATGAATTGTCTCACCCCTAAGAAGCTGTGTGAATGAGCATGCTCTCTTTAAGTATTAGTTGGATGGTTTTTACCATGCTATGACTGCGCTGGATTAGCTCAATAAGTCGAAGGATTTCCAAAACTCGAGGTCGAGAAAGAAAAGGGAGCCATATAACATACGCAATAATATTAACAGCCTTTCCTTGAGCACCAGCAGCAATATCCTTTGCTAGTTCCTCAGCACGTGCTTCGATGGATCCTGAAGGAGGTACTGTAGCGGTGATGACCTCAATTCCCTTCACCGACAGCGCCTCTTTAATACCGCGCCAATATTGGACACCAGGAAAGTAAGGGCCAGCAAGGCGCAATTCGTCAAACCCAAGAAGCCCATGGGCTAGGACAATGACGTGCTTTGGAGTATCTAAACCAGTGAATCAGTGGTTAAGAACAGTTTCTTTGCATGCATAGAGACATAATTATAAGTGCCTGAAACAAGTGGCAACAACTGACCATAATCTTCTCGAATCACCGCATATTCATCCTGAATAACTTTCCCCAGCCCTTCCAGCCGTGGGTCAGACCCCGTGTCCTCATGGAGATGATATCTACAGGTTGAGGAATGGAACCCGCGAGGGATTCGATGATTGAGCTGAGGGTACTGGTAGACGCTCTTCGGACTGACAAACCTAGTGTTTGCGCGCAGAGTAGCAACGGCGCATCTCATCTTCTATATCTCTAGCTGTTTGTTTGGAATATGATGTTTATTGGGGGGGTCATTGCGGGATGATGTAATGGCTGCTGGAACTTAAAATGTTTGCCTCAGGCTAAACAAATTGAGAAATGGATGAGGCGTTGCGATTAAAACGTAGCATGAGCGATCAATGTATGAAACATAAAAATTTAGCATCAACCAGCGTATGCGCTTTGTAATAGGTTACTGACGAGCAGAAAGCTGCCAAAGGCCTAAATTACTATTGAAATAGCCTATCTATCTATGTGTATGGACTTCGGAGAACAATGTAAACATGGGACTGCCGTAGCCTTCGAGCCAGGAAGACGTCCGGAGACCTCATTCAAACCTTTATTATAGGAAGTCGTAACCCATCCGAGCTCAATGCTATTTGAAGAAATAGCTCATCTAAATAGAGCCACGACCTAGATCTTGCCTCAGGCCGAAGTAGGCGTTGCCCAGCGTTGACAACATCTGCTGGAGTCGGCTTCAATATAATTAGACGTGGTTGGAATCAAAGTAACGAAACAAACGCTATATTCACAGCATTTAAAATAGTAAGCCCCAAATAAACATGTCCCCTCAATGCTGCCGGAGAAGCCTTACGGCCGCAAGCCTATGCCTGGCTCAGGATCTTCTCGGAAGCCTCAGGCTTCACATCGGTCAGCGCACTGATAAGGTCTTCGACAACCTTAGCGCCCTTGCTGTTTCCAGCATCCTTGATTTCCTGCAGCTTCACTTCTGCCTCCTTGTTTGCATCCTCTTCGGCCTTCTTGTATCCGCTCGAGTGCTAATGTTGAGGAACATGTGCGGTTAGCCAGTAGAGCTCTATGAGTTTACAACACTCATTGAGCGGGGTCATGCTCACCTCAGCCTCGAATTTCTTGAACTCTTGTTCCTTCTGATTTCTGTATTCTTCGATCTCCTTCTGTGCCTCTGACTTCGCGTCCCTTATGCGCTTCGTACGGTCTGGGAATTTACACATCAGGTCTGCAGATCTTATGTCGAGAGGGATGGAGGGAAATCATACACTCTCTAGCTGAACAAGCGCGATGCGTCAGTATATGCATGTCATGTTCCCAAGCTTGTATCAAGCAGACAGACCTTGTTGAACAATCTTCTGGGCCTCTCTCTCAGCCTAATACTTGCGTTAAATCATGTAACCCCTGCGATATACCATGACAGCACGACCTACATCGAGGAGGGTCTGAATGCCTGCGGAGTTCTGAGCGGACTGTAACGTATTGTTAGCATTGCCAGCTTTCACGACCACCCATAGTCATGCGCTCACCATCTTTACTGATATATCCTCTCGGCTGACAATGGAAAACGAGAAAAAAGATGGAGGGGAGGAATAGGGACACAGCACAGATAAGGCGGAGGCGTGGAGATGCGCCGATGATCTCCCCGAGGCCGCCACGAATGGTCAGCTGTAGGCGGTCTGTATTCTGCCACTTATCACCGCCATGGTGATAATCGCCGATAATCCGGTGCACGTTCTGGATCGCCAGAGTTCTTTAGATCTGTGGTGCCTGATAATTGGTTTTTTCAAAACAAAATTTCAAAACTCACAATTGGAAACACATCAAAATGTCTCGAGCATCTAAGTTGACACTGGCTGCTACCGGCTTGGGTACGGCGGGAATCATCTACTTCGTTCACTGGGCACAAGAACAAGAAAAAGCTGTATGTACCTTGCTCTGAAAAATTGACCGATGCTAACTTTTGGTAATTTCTGAAGTCCATGCATAAGGGGGTTGAGCGAGATATGGAAAAGCAGCGTATTCGACAAGAACGGCAGGCGGAGTTCGAGATTCAGCGGAGACTTGAAGAAGAATACAGGAAACTCCAAACGGTCTCCCCAAGCATAGAAGATCAGAGTGGAGGCGAAGCGAAACAGGGGAGAGGGGCATAAAGCCCAAAAGCATTATAAAAGTGCTGGATTGAGTTGGATGTTATGCTCTTCACTATAGGCTCTCATCTGGTGAGTCCTAAGCCCTTGGGGAACAACTATTTGAAGGGTGACCATCCAACATAACTAAACCGAAGATAGTGATAGACGAGTGGCACTTGTATAATATACCCGAATGTACAGTATATGATATAGAATCCCTGTTCCCGCGCATGCACTCCCATTTACATTGTCATAAAGACGATCTCTGATACCTCCTAGACGCACGAAGAATCCTATACTATTATATGGCCTGCTCACGTGTCTGCAGTACAATTATCTGTCATCAGAATGTGGCTGAATCTAGATGAAAGGCCATGGGACCCTCTCATCTGGCAATCTGTCTATCTGAAGCTTGTTCACCGTAGTCTGTTTTTATCCTTTATTTCTATCTCCCGATCGCCTAGCATTCTCACTGGTTACTATAAAAACTTCTATAGAAAATGGCCCAGAATATACATAAAAAGTATCAAGATAGCACCGAGCATCGCAACTATACACGGTGTCGCACATAAAAGACGGCCGGCTATTATCGGAGGCCGGCCCAATTCCGGCCTCATGCAACTAGGAAAGGCTATTTTGCACTTGATCCGGATTTTCTGACGAATAAAATAGATCCATGTGGGGTAGCATGCCTTGGCAGAGGGTGAAATATAGAGCGGACAAGTCGCTGTACATGTACGTTCATGACAAGTACACAATGGAAATGCTTTGATTTGGAGGATTTCAGGCTTTATATGACGAGGTGGGGTATGCCATATACCAATAGAGTCCTTCGAAATAGTATACAGATCACGAGTGCAAGAATAAGCATCATTGTTACATAATAAAGTCACTACTACATTCGGCTTAGCGTGTCCCCGTGATACTAGCTTGCCCTCAATGCCAAGAATCTATATAGATCTCTTGTATATATCTTCAAGGATGAAGATAGAGATAGAGGGGATGGTGTCCTCATCAGCTATTGCGAGGAGACCTCAATAATTCATATAGAGATGCTTATCAGCTATGATATCACGGTGATACCGGCCAGAATCCAGTCTCCACGGGGTTTTCTCATCCTTTTCGTAATAGTGCCATCGAGGCCGGAATTGATACCGGCCTCTGGATGTTATAAGAATCGCCTCCTTTCCCGCCCAAATCCATTCACTCCGTTGCTATTCTCAAGCTTTAAGAGACCGCAAATCCCTTTTCAATCCGCTCCCATTTCCTTTATCATTCTCATATCATCTTTTGGGTCGGCTCTCTGCCTCCATAAGCGTCTTCCATTCTGCTCTTTGATACTATATTGTCTCCCATACAATTGCTCTTAGATAGACATTGTCTTCCCCACTTCTGTCTTTTTCAAAATGACACAGACCAAGGTCCCCCCAACCTCTTCCACTACCGTGAAGCGTTTCCCTCATATCCATGATGACCCGGCAACCTTGCCTAAGTCCTTGGACCCCTTCACCATCACCACCTCTACCGGCTTCTTGCCCTTCATAATGTCTCCCACTCAGCTGCCTGATGCATTCCAACCTTTGGCGTCCTTGCTTGACCGTCTTCCTGTGGAGAAGCTTGACGGTACCCCTGGTCTTCTGGCTACCTATGAACTGGGTCCTGCCGTCCAGGAGCTTCCTGACCTCACCGCCGAAGTTGACAAGCTGGTCACTGCTGACGGCTCCCCGGACCTCTATGCTGTCACTGCTGTTTTCCGTGATTACTCCTTCCTGGCATCTTCTTACCTGCTTGAGCCATGCTGGGAGAACTGGTGCAAGAACCCTGACAAGGGGTATGGCCTGGGACGTGACGTGCTTCCTAGGGCTGTGGCTTGCCCTATGTATCGTTGTGCTCAACTGTATGTTACAACAACTAAGCAATTATGCCTTCCTTCATCCTATAAAAAGGTATCGCACAAGGTCATACTAACTAACCATCGCTAGGTTGGACATCCCACCTTTCATGTCCTATGCTGCCGCATACTCTCTCTTCAACTACACCCTTGCCGATCCAAAGAAGGGTCTAGTATATGACAACCTCCGTCTTGTCCGGGCATTCGAACATGGACTTAACCCTAAGTCCTCCGAGGCTGGGTTCATCCTGACCCATATCGACATGGTCAAGGAGTCCAATGGACTGATCAGCGGAGCCCTGAAGGTCGTCGACACCATTGAACAAGGCGGCTCCCGTACCGAAGTCAACGACGGCTTCAGAGAGATCCTATCATCCATGGAGAAGATCGAAGCCTGTATGGAAGGTAAGCAACCCTTCTAATTACCCACCGAACCCCAAAACCCAACCCAAAAACTAACTACATCCCAGACATGTGGGCCAACTCTAAGCCCAGCGAGTACCTCTCCTTCCGGGTCTTCATCTTCGGAATCACCAACCAATCCATGTTCCCGAACGGCGTGATCTACGACGGCGTCCTCGACAACAAGCCCCTCAACTTCCGCGGTGAAAGTGGCGCCAACGACAGCATGGTATTCGTCCAACCCAAAAAGCTAACCCACTCAGATCCCCCTCCTCGACCACCTCTGCCAGATCCCCATGCCCTCCACCCCACTCACCAAGATCCTGCACGAGTTCCGCGCCTACCGTCCCCTCCCTCACCGCGAGTTCCTGGCCTACATGAACTCCAAGGCTGCGGAGGTCGGCGTCCGCGACTTCGTTGTCAAGGATACCGAGACCGTCATCCTCTTCCTGAAGACCCTGAACCATGTGCGGAGCTTCCGCTGGCGTCATTGGCTGTTTGCCCGCGAGTATATCATTCGTCGTACACCTCATCCTACTGCTACCGGTGGTAGCCCTATTGTTACGGTATGTTTCCCTTCTGGGTTGTATTTAAGGATTGGTCGGAAATGGATTTGTGGCTAATGGGTGGTTTTATAGTGGCTTCCTAACCAGCTGTCGGCTGTTATGGATATGATGGTCTCGCTCTACGATACATATCTTGCTCCACAGAAGGAGCCAGAGTATTCAGCTAATGGCCTGACTGGGTATGATGCTTCTTTCCAGAAACAGGTTGAGCCGATGATGGAGATGGTGCGTGATCAGAAGGATAAGTTGGCCAAGGAAGTCGAGAAGTGGTGTCAGGAGAGGGGTAACGGTTTCTGAGAACCGCGACTGTTATGAAAATGAATGCTGTTTGAATTTGATGCTTCTGTATATTCTTGGACATACTAGCGAGGCCTGGAATAATTCAAGTACAACACGATATCGATTTCCTACATTAACTGGCAAGAATACCTAACTCTACATTTCTATTCATTGATCCAAATCCAATTTCGCTAAAGTTCACTTCAATAACACGCGTCGTATCGTATCGTATGTGCATGTAGGAGGAGGTGTGGCGTTTGATTTCTCGGAACACTTGGTCAGATCCGCCGAATATACTCAGCAGGATGGCAATTGTCCCGCTCATTGAGGCAAAGCTGACATCAGGATACCACTGTCCTTCAGGAAATGCCTTCTTAAGTAGTCGTCTTGGTGTATCATCCAGTTAAGTGATTATCTCAATGCCGTGTGCCCGACCATATGCGATTGCGTCTGGTGAGACATGCTCACAACCTTTGACATGTAGTCGCTCGATTTGCATGACATCGCCTTCAGAGGCTCGAGCATCAGCGAATGTCTTGATGGATATGCCGGTGATATCGGTATAAGACATGTAAATGACTTTCAATTTGTGCATCCTCTCAGCAATCAGGTTCGAGAAGTCATCATTGATCCCGATAACATGGGAGACGTTGAGTTCTGTTAACTCATTGGCATGTTGGCATAAACTGTGCCAGAATGCTATCCCGCGCAATCGGAAACAGCTGTCTACATGAAGTACCTCAAGCGGGGCTTTCGCTTCAACGAGAAAGATAAGCATGGTGTTGTTCGAGACCCAAGGCACATCCCTGAACATGAGGGTCTTGAGTTTGTGAAACTCAACAGGACGCTGGTTAGAAAATGGGAAATCCTCAGTCGCAGCACCACCGCAAATGCGTAGGTATTCAAGGTTAGGCGGTAGAGTAAATTCGTCACTGATGTATATGCCGCTGAGGTCCAGTCGCCGTAGTCGCGAAAAGTCTATTGGGTTGAAAGAAGGAGGGTAAGGGAAAAATACGTCTGGATCTGAGTTAAGGCACAGCTCTTCAAGATTGGCAATGGAATAGGGAAGAGAAGGCTGAAACAGTCAGTTAGCTGCGCGTTCAAGAAGGGGTGTAGAGCAGGGTGGCAGTACTTGTTTGCGAGGGATATGCAGGGCAGACGTATGCCCGTTTAACCACGATCCCTCTGTGGTGCCGAGGATTATGCTCCGTAGGTGTGGGAGCTCTGAGGGCCATTGCACCTTTGATGAAGGTGAAGTTCTGGCTTTGTATATTTTGATATTCTCAAGGAGAGGCAAGCTTCCCAGGAACTTGGTAATATACTCTTGCGGTACCGGCATATCTCTTGATATTATCAGCGTTTTCAAACGTCGAGAGCCTTTGTACATCTCATAAAAATTCTGACAGCTAAACGGCGTCCAGACTTCCAAGTATTCTAATCTTGGACACCTGCTGAAAAATTGAAGGACTTTTTCTGCGGAACTAGAGGATATATTCTTCACAATAGCATGGGTTACCATGGACTTCGATCGTCGGATGTAAGCCCGGACGGAACCCCAATGAATTTTGCTGCGGGCACCAGTCAAATCAATCCGCATCCATAAGTCTCGCATTGAGGACAGAAAGCTGTCCCATTGTTTTGATACGCGAAGGATGGCCCTTAGAGATAACAATTAGAAGGGAGCGTGGGACGATAATTTGAGCCACGTACACAATCTGCTTGAAGTCAAGATACCCTAACACCATCGCTGCTATTTCAAGAGGCAGTACACTGAATGGGTCACAGCATTTGGACGTCAAGTTATCTCGAAGCTTGTTGTGTAGTTGTTCTACGAGCTACGCAGGTCAGCAAAGCCCTAGCGACGAGGTTCAATTTCCACTGAACAGTAACACTGACCTCACGGCGAGGATGATTACTAGGCAAAGTCTTTAGCGCATATGCGTAGAGTTCTAAAGCCTTCTCCAGCTTTCCTTCCAGAAGAAGACATTTTGCGCAGCGAAGATATCCCTGGTTCAAATTAGCAAAGGGGTATGAAGCCTCCGAGCACTTTGCGAAAGAGCCCTACTCGTTCATCTTGCTTGTCCTTTTTGATCATCTGCTTCGCGTCCTTGAGCGCCCGATCATATTGACCGAGCTTAGTGTAAGTAGCGGCGCGATTATCAAGTATACCAAGAAAATCAGCATCTTTACTATTTAATGCCTGAGGCAGCCAAGATAGTTGTTAGATTTGACAGGTTGAAGTCTGATCCATGTAGCATTGACTCGCCGTACCTCTGTGAAGGCATCTATGGCAGCCTTAAAGCTGCCCGTCTGGTATAGTTGTTGACCATGCCGCTGCAAAGCAGCTGCTTCGCCACGCGCTAGAGCTATGGTTCGTTAGAATTACGCTAATGATAATCATCACCAGAGGAGCGTCGGGCATTTCATCAGAAGTGTTTTAGAGTTTTGAGAGTCTTAACACGTACCTTGGGACCCCATCATACCAACGCTTGGACTAGACTCAGTAAGAGGTCCATGCTGTGAGGAGATGAACCCACGCGACTGGACGTGCTTGTCTTTTAATTAGGATTTGCTAAAAAGGCCAAAGTCCCTCCCACTAGCCTGAATCGGGCAAAGCGTCCCCATAAAACACGGGACTCCACTTTCAAGGCAACGAATCTATCATTACTACGTACTAGTATAAGATCTTCCAGTCGCATGGGTGCCCTTGCGACTTCCTGATGTATTCTTGCTATTTTACAGACAACCTTTTCATGGACTGTGTCACTAGGATATATATCAGGCTAAACCGGTTTGTTCCCGTGTGTATCGTCTTAATCAATCCAACCGATACAGAGACACACCACAATCAGTTGCCTCCTCACTACTACTAGTAGTAGTATGATAGTATCCTCGGGCAGCCTTGCATATGCACAGTACATTATTTATGCTTGACTTGTCAACTTTTACAATTTAATTTATGCAAAGAGCCCTATTTCTATCTGGCTGACACACACAAAGTACCCGTGTGTCCTGTAAAGGCCCTAAACTATGTATCTGACTAGACATAAGAAAACCCCAGACAACTCAGCAAAGAGCCGTCGTAAGGGTCATAGTAGATAAACCAATCGGCCAATTATACGTATGGCTTCTCAGAATGGTGTGTCATCGGCAGTATGAGTAGAAGACTCATGTATTCGGTATTCAATGGACATCACTGGGATTGGAACCCGTCCTCGAAACTTTCTGACAGGTAATATTTAATGCATTCACGACTCAATCTTCCTTGGAAACAAAGGAGAAAAAAAAAAAAAAAAAAGATAAACAAAGGAAAGGTAAACAAGAAATTAATACGAGGTTCTCGGTATCATGTTACCTTACTAGGTCAAAACATGAGATCCCTATCAGTCATGAAACAATAGACAGTGGGCCAGAGAAATGCCACAGCACCATACATTTTAGAACAAACTCCGAGTTGCGCAGAGAAATGCGCGCTATTCTTGAGCAAGCAACGACTCAGATAACCGAGATTGGATATTCTGGTACTAATTGCAAGTATAGTAGGTAGTGCACAGATCGGAAGAGGGAGGGAGGGGAAATTTCATTTTTATGTTGTACAGCAGAGACCAGAATTTACTGAACTGGAGTGTAATGGATGCAAAAAGATGCGACAGAATCTGGGCTAAAAGGTTATAGAACTAAAGCGGTTTAGTTCCGAGTCCGCCTGGCAACGAAGGACGATCATGCGACTGCGCATTTGGCATCTGCGGGCCACCGCGGAAAAGGCGGTGTTTACATTCTTCCCCATTCGGAATCCCTGCAAGTGAAAATAACGGCCCGAGGCCCTTGCGAAACGCTTTGAATTCTCACGACTTAAGTCGCCTGATCCCCGCCAGTTCATCCAATATTGGCCGACAGCTTGCAGGCAAGCATGGAGCCGCACAATTTGCAGGCGGCGTCTACCTATATAAATAATGTGCTTCTCGCCCGGGGCTTACTGAAAAGTGGCAAGCCGATCGATTTCGCTCAGCCGGAGAATGAGGAAGGTGGCACGGGGGCTGCGATGGCGAGAGTCATCAACCTGGTGAATGATTTGGTCCTGAGGAGAGATGTATGTGAATAACCTGCCTCGTCTCGTACATGATCTGACCAGGTTGGAATAGCGCGAAGCCGAACACCGAGAGAACCTAGCGACTACGATTCGGACATTGCGAGCGGAGGATGCCCAAAAGACACTCGAGATTGTATGTTCCAGCAGCACTTGGGAGGCTATACAAGAAGCTAAGACTGCGTACAGGAGAAACTCAAGGCGAAGACATCCGAATTGACCCGATCGGTCGCTTTGGCGGAAGCCCAAGAGCGTGCCCAGAAAGCCAATGCAGCGAGTGCCGACGCTACAGTAAGACAACTGAAAGATCAAGTGCAGCGCATGAAAACTACGATTCAGCAAGTCCGGGCCCAGTGTGCCAACGACATCCGCAAGCGTGACCTGGAGATGCAGAGATTGAAATCCCACCTGGCTGAACGTCAGAGAGGAAAACGGGAGGGGCTAGGCGTGACAACCATCAACATAAACCCTGCAGTCGATCGATCCTCCAAAGCTAAGCTTATGTCGGGTGGCGATAATGTCAATGACCCAGGCTACAGTCTGAAGCAGGAGACGAACGATTTTCTGACAGAGTTATGTCAGAACTTGAGCGACGAGAATGATAGTTTAATTATGCTTGCGCGGAACACTGTCCAGACTCTGAAGGACTTGCAAGGGTTGCCCCAAAGTGAGGAGAATGATGAGTATTCGAACGGTGCAAGCGTAGGAACTCAGAAATCATCACAAGGGCCAGTTACTACACTTCCGGCGTCTTGTGAAGAGCTGTCCAACCAAATGGATAGGGTGCTTGAACATCTGAGAACACTCCTCACTAATCCCTCTTTTGTACCGCTCGAGGAAGTCGAGGTGCGCGACGAGGAAATAGGGAGGCTACGGGAAAGTTGGGAAAAGATGGAGAGCAGGTGGAAACAAGCTGTTACCATGATGGACGGATGGCATAGACGAATCGCCGATGGTGGTGGCTCCGTGCAAGCGGAGGAGTTGCGAATGGGTATGAGGCTCGACCTTAGCGTAGACTCGGCTCAGGATCTTGCACCAGCCGACGACGAGGCACAGATGCAGTCGCCAATTTACGAAGACCAGGAGGCTGAAGATGAAGAAGAGTCCGCAGACAGGGCTTCTCAAGAGAGCGTTGAGCTACCTCCGGCTTGTGTTGACACTCAGCTACCAGTGCGGGAGGAAAAGTCTCAGAAGAGCTCCGACCGTGCGCTGAAGGAGCGGAGCGAGAATGTTCGACCCGCGCGCTTGCCACGAAAGGTTTCTTTCACACCTGGACTCCATGGATCACCTTGTGAACCTAGTGGTGGCGATGATACTCTGCCAATCAAAGCGCATCAGTCCGAGACAGTTACGCGCAGGCCGTCGAGGAGAAAACCGGAGACCAAGACGTCACGTCAGGTACCGAGCCAGACTAGCAGACTGCATGAGCCGAAAAAGCCAGGTCTGACTAAAGAGCAGGGCCCCAGCTCTCAAACTCGGATGAGTGTTTCGCAGAAACTAGCCGCTGCGGAGAGTGAAGCTCGCGCTGCGGAACAAGCCCGCAAAGAAGGCGAGAGCCGTAAGCGAGGCCGCGCAGTGAAGGGTTCTAAAGGGAGCCAAGATCGGCGAAGAAGCACTCTCACTAATGACGAGCTGGGCGAGCTGCTGGGGATGACATCCCGGTGAACAAGCTATTGTAAGCCAGTGTGTTTAGGATATGATTTGTTTGATACCCTCCAGTGTAAATACTTCTCTGCGTGCTACCTGTTAGCTGCATACGATTGTCATGATTTGACCTGACCTGGCGCATGGGAATTCTTCTGTCTTTAGTTGAAAACATGTACTCGTTAATCATAATGCATCTAATGGATTGGATATGGGATTCTGATATGCTGTGACCCAACGCACATACGTACTGTTGATATTCATGAGGATATCCCGCAACCTCGGCAATTCCTGATTCGGTCCGCATTTTGGTTCGATCTCCACCATTTGCTCTGGAGTAGCCGACTTATTTCTCCTTTTAAATGATGTACATATATCCCCTCCTAATCTCTGAAAGATCCGCGTGCTGCTCAATAGTGCACTTTAGCTGCTGGGCGGATCTTGAATAACTTACATATAATTACCAGCAAAGCAATCAACCTCACCGCTGCGCCACCGACGACACCCAGACAAACAATCATATACAGTTGAAACCATCAGTTCAAGAACATACACACCTCAAAATACCTGAAACCCATATACCCCAATAATCACCCGACAATGTCCCCAACAACCCCAGACACATTCAAGGGCTGGGTGGCCCACAACGCCACCAGCCCCCTAACATTCACGACCTTCAACCCTAAACCATTCACAGCAACCGACATCGAAGTCGCAGTCTCCCACTGCGGGATCTGCGGGACAGACATTCACACCCTCCGCTCAGGCTGGGGCCCTGCAGACTACCCCTGCGTAGTCGGCCACGAGATCATCGGCACCGTGACCCGCATTGGCTCAGGCGTCCCAACGCTGGCATCATCCCCAGCCTCCCGCGAGATCCGCGTCGGAGACCGGGTTGGGATCGGCGCGCAGAGCATGTCTTGTCTGAAAGCGGACTGCGCCGAGTGCGCAGACGGACAGGAGAACTACTGTCCCCGGATAACAGGGACGTACAACTCGCGGTACGCCGACAAGAGCAAAGCATACGGGGGCTTCGCGATGCACTGGCGTGGGCCGGCGCATTTTGCGTTCAAGATCCCCGACTCGCTGCCCTCGGCTGAGGCGGCGCCATTGCTATGCGGTGGGGTTACTGTGTTTGCGCCGTTGAGGAAGTACGGCGCCGGGCCGGGGAAGTCGGTTGGGATTGTGGGCATTGGGGGACTGGGGCATTTGGGGATATTGTTTGCGAGGGCGTTGGGGTGTGATCGGGTGGTGGGGATTTCGCGGACGTCGAGTAAGCGGAAAGATTCAATTGAGGGACTTGGGGCGGATGCGTTCATTGCTACCGATGAGGAGAAGAAGTGGGGGAGGACACATTCGCGTTCCCTAGATCTGATTATCTGTACTGTTGATGCGCCGGATATGCCGTTGAGTCAGTATCTGCGGTTGCTGAAGGTGGATGGGACGTTTGTGCAGGTCGGGGCGCCTGAGAAGCCGCTTCCGCAGTTGACGGCTTTCTCTTTGATTCAGAAGGGGGTGAAGGTTACCGGGTCGAATATTGGTTCGCCGGAGGATATTCGGCTTATGCTGCAGTTGGCAGCTGAGGAGCGCGTGTTGCCGTGGATTCAGAAGAGACCAATGAAGGATGTGAATGCGGTGTTGGCTGATATGGATGCTGGTAAGGCACGGTATCGATATGTGTTGGTTAATGAGACGGAGAAGCAAGCGAAGTTATAGGATGTACCATGTGGGCGTTGGTTTCTGCTGGAGTAGGGTAGGCCGGTGCTTGATAAAATAGAGGGGCGCACGTTGAGTCTAGGGCAGGGTGCAGAGTATGTACAAGTGTGACTTATGGAGATTCGGGGACAGTCTTGAAGTCTAAGCCTCATTCATTTCCCTGTTTGATGCATTAGGTAGAGTATCAAATCTAGGAAAACACCCTTCCCGATAATAAGTCCTTAATTGAGAGAAAACTTGCGATCAGAGAGCCCCGTGTGCCAGAAATGCACAGGCAAATATCCCGCTATTAAAATAGTAAGTACTGAGAAAAGTCAAGCTGAATTAATCTGTTTCAATTTCGCTGAGGAAGCCCTGTCCGAAAATTTCTACCATGGGCCACTGTGCATACGGTTTCCAGCGGTCATCCAGAATCTGCCATATTGCCCTTGGTAGCTTGAATACCCATTGATCGATGCACCAGTCATACTTCTTAAGGCGACAAAGGACCGAGCAGAGATGCGCTAGGATGATCAGGGCAAGAGGACTACGATCCCGTATCAGGTTCACAAACTTGGGCTTCAATCTGATTGCCCATCTCGCGGCAACAGTGATCGAAGTCAAGCCACCATAGGCTGCAGCCGTTATATCCGTCAGGTTGTCAATAGTTTTGTTGTAGATATCGGTATCATGCGTTGTGTCTTGCGCGCCACAATAAGCATTCAGCTCACGTAGTCGTTCGAGCAGTGAAAGAGCATCTTGCGGAAGAGAGGCAATGTATTTGTCCAAGCGCAGGAGGATTTCCCAGTCGCTACTTCGGATAGACGGCGTGGCCTGTCTCAACACTTGCTCCACACCCCGTGCTAATACCAAAACTTGAATGAAATCGTCAATGCATGCCCATGGACCTTTTGACTCGGGCGAATGAGGAAAACCGAAAGCATATACAACTATCATGCTAGATAATGCAAACATAGCTTTTGCATTTGTGTCATTAATATCATCGAGCTGCTTTCGGAAAAATGCTAATGCCTGGTTCTGGTGGGCTACGGCGGCACTGATATATTCCGGTCGACGGTGGTCGTCCCTCGTCCGGGCTATATGAAGTGCAGAAAGAGCCAAGATCCCGTGCATAAGGAACGGATATGACAAGGCTTCTTCAGGAACACGAAGACGCCAGACGGGATCAGTCCTTTCATTGCGTGTTAGGACCTGGTACGTTGAGTTACACCACTGCATCATCAACTCCAAGTCGCCCAGGTTGAGGCTGGGACTGGAATGAGTTGCGCCATCATCTTCGGCAGATGTGTCAAATGGATTGGCAGTTACATGTGGTGGCTCTGGCAGTGGTGGTTCCTCAGATCTAGAGTTAACCGACTTTGTATGGTGTGGTTCTTCGTTCGCCCATAGGAGGGAACTGCTCGAGTCATATTCGCATTCCGCTTGGCGCTTAGAGCAATTGGAGCACACTGGTCGGGTTTCGTCGCACTAAAAGACCAGTTCAGTCGAGCAAATACATGAAGCCATGCCAAGTGAGTGCATACCTTGACTCGTCTTCGCTTGCATTCTAGACAGCCATGGCGAGACTTGCGATGGGGTCTTCGTAGTGCCATCAGATGCAACTGCACAACGACCAGCTATGCTGACATATTCTGGATAGTCAAGAATTGCTAGTGTCATCCATGAGGAAAGAGCACGGCATTTCTAGGCAACTGCATACCTATGAAGTTAAGCTTATTTTATTTCATTGGAGGCTGAATGATACAAAGCAGATTATGTCATCATAATAAATGCCAAGAATCATAATTGACACAAGAGGTAGTGGATATCATCCTATCGTAGACATATATAACACGGTAACTCAAACAGCAGACTTGGTATCTCAGAATATTCGGGAAAGCTAAGAAGAGAATAAAGAATACAAAGGAGGCAGAGAGATAGATCCTTTAACCTCCACCACCACCCCCGCCACCTCCTCCACCATTATTGTCGCGCCGTCTTTGTTTCTCATACAAAGAAAGCCCAGTGATAAGGACCATCAGATCAAACTCCTCGCCATAGTTTGTCGAGTCGATTTGGAGTTTGCCACTTTTCTTGACGCTTTTGAATGCACTGCTCGTAAAGATCGCAACAATCTGATCGGTCTGCTCATCGACCAGCTTGAAGTTGCGGCTACTCCATTTGGAAGCGGAGGAGCCCTCGACCGCAACAGAGTGTGTTCTTTTCCACATAAAAGACCGTCGTTCTGCTCCAGAGGCACCCCGGAGGGTCATTTGCCAGCGGTATTTGTTGCTCCTGATGTTTTGAGACACAAGGTCCTCCCACTCAACGTGGTTGATACTCTCCGGATCACCGAGCCCTACTTTCATGTGTCTTGAAAAATGTAGGAATTTGGAGACGCCCACAATAGGGGCCTTCTTATCAGTGCCAGCATGGAATGTAAGGTCTGGCTTCTTTGGGGTGAAACACGACGTATCCACAAAGAAAAGGGGTGTCTTGTCGTCCGAAGTCACGGTGTAATCATTGTGCCACAGAGTATGGTATACATGAAAGAGGCGAGGGTTGCCGCAGGAGTTAAACAGACTTCCATTAAAAGACTCCTGATCAGAAATGGACTTGGATGGATTCATTGTGCAGAGGTCAAGATATTGTTACGCATTAGTGATGAAAAAAAGATAGGATAGAGAAGCATAAGGAGTATTCGGGGGCGGGGGGTTCGTCTTCTACACATCTTATATAACTATTCTGAGGTGAGAACCCTGGAATCATTTTAATATCCTTGATACGAGAAGCACAAGGCTTAGCGTTGATCATCATCATGGGTGTTCCAAAGCATAACTTAAAAAAGAACAATCTGAAGGAATATCATCCAATAATTAGCAGGAAAGGCTCCAAGGGCTGTGCTCTTGGCTTTGGAACACCAGCCAGATTTAGCCTTGGGCAACCCAAGGGGCTTTGTAGCGAATACGACTTGCCCAAATTGGAGTACTACAAGCACGTGATTCAAACCCTCACAGATCTGATCATGTGATATACAATCACCTGATATCACATGACATCGCAGCTTGGTGCCAAGACCCGAGCGCGTTGATGGGCGGACTGGCGATGCTGAAGAAGCGGAACTTCCATGACATTTAGGGGTTGGCAATTTCCAGTTTGTAACTCGATTACTCGATCACCTAACGGAGGGTCATTGGTTAATTGCGCGCGCCTGACATTAGGTGCCTATTCCCCTGCACGAGTTGTCTGCCCCCGACTGGGGTGGTAACTTTTCGTTCCGCAGATCTAAGTCGACCAAGAATTATCGCTTTGTTTATGCTACACCGACCACCACCATATCAACATGAGTTTTAAGGTTCCTTTCGATTCGAGTCCACCCTCGACCCCTGGAAAATCTCGCAGTTTGTTCAGTTTATCTGAAACTCCAGCGGGTGCTCCGCCGTCGGCATCCAATTCCTTTACTCCGCAAGGCGCTCCTCCGTCCACCGTATTTGGCAGCTCCCAGATGAGCTCTAGATCACAGTTTGACTCCCCCGGTTCTCTCTTTACAAAATCCGGAAACATCAATCCCAACGACAGCATCTTCGGGTCCTCGATCGCATCCTTTGATTATCCAGCACCACGGGGAAGGAAAGCAGCTCCCACCAAGTCCTTTGCCCCCACTCAATCTCTTTTCAGTGTTACAAATGATAGCCGGTTTGGCGACTCGACCAATTTTGGACCGTCAAATAGTTTCGCCTCGTCGCAAATGGAAGAAGATGTCGAGGGCGAGGAGTCTATTCCGGAGGAAGAAGAAGTGGATGGCGATATGGACGTAGGTGATACAACTGGGGACGGCAACCGCTTGAGCTTCTTGGACTCTCAGTTTGGAAAGCCCGTTTTGCCACAGCCCACCTCGCAAGGTCAACAAAAACCGATATATACAAATCCAAGCAATGCAAAGCGACCTAAGCTTGATGAAAAATGGGCAAATCAATCACCTCTACGCAAAACGAAACTGTCTCCCAAGAAGGACTCTCCAATGCCGTCAATTATGCGAAATTTCACGTCCAGATCGCGTATCGCATCGGTCGAAGAGCCCAGCCAAGTCATCATCAACACTGAGGATGAAATATGTCGCTTGTACGACGAAGTGCGGAAGGCTGAATACCAAGATGTGGATTTCCAGGTCATGCTGTCAGAGGTCTGTAGCCAACTAACGGAAGATTGGGAATTATATGCAGAGTACGAGGGCGTCTCTAGGGTCTCTAGTACACAAGTGGGCCCAGGGGACCATGCTCCTGGCGTGATTAAAGCGAGCTTCCTGGGCTCTTTGTTGCTACAGCTTCACCACCCCCCTCTTTCAAATGATAGGTCAGGGGGGTTCCCCAACCCTCTAGGCTTTGCGGCACCGCAAAGTCTTGTGCTTGCCGGCTCGAGAACTAGTGCGCCCATCCCCATACCGAAGCTGCTCCTTGATTGGCTTAACAGAAATTATCCTCAGACGGCCGAACTGCGATCATTGAAAGATGTGGAGCCGAACCCTACCGCGTCTTCAAATTTTTGGGAGATTCTTAAGGCCGCTGTATTGCGCGGTCATATTCCCGAAGCTGCGGACATTTTGCGAGTTGCAGATTTCAACTACGCTAGGTCTGCATTGGAGGACGGCTTACCACAAACGGGTTATCGTGGCGCACAGCTGCAGAATATCCAGAAGTGTGTCAATAGAGCCCTACAGATTTTAGACTCATGCCCTGGCACTCAGCACGGTGATTGGGATGTTAGGGGACCCGAGTGGGGCATGTACAGGAGACGTGTGCTTGCTGCAGTGACAGACCTTGAAGAATTCGCTGAAGGAGGTGAGCAGCAAGACCCCGAGCCCCCGGTTGTGGGCAATCGTTTCCAGGCAATAAATTTCGGATTGAAGCCCATTGCTGCGGCAGGCGAATTCTCCTTCGCGCAGTCTGCGCGCATGGCAGAAAGCCGGGTTCCATGGACGATTTACCAAAACCTGAGATCCCTCTACCGCATTATCCTCGGGGATACGAGCGCTATCATGAATCTTGCACAGGACTGGGTTGAGGCGACGGTCAGCTTGACAGTATGGTGGGACGGGGAAGATGATGATGAGAGTTCAGCGCCAAGCAACGGACTTGGTGCCAGCACTAGCATTCACTTTCTCCGTCCTCGGGTATCGAAACCACAGCCTTCTAGCATTAATCCTGAGGAAGCTTATCTTCGTCGCCTTGATCTGGCTTTTAATAGTGCGACAAATTCAGAGTCAGATGACGGCGGTTTCCGGGTTAACTCTCTCAGCAGCATCGAAGTTGGACTGGCCTCCGTCTTTGAAGGAAACGTTGATGGCGTGTTAGAATTGCTTCAGACGTGGTCGCTTTGCGTTGCGTCTGCAGTGGCTGAAGTTGCGTCTGCTGGTGGCTGGCTAGAGACGACAACTGGGGCAAAGCCGCTAACAGGCCTGAGCGAGAATGACTTGATGGTCCTCTCCTATGGTCAAGATGGCAAATCGCAGAAGGGCAGTGTTAGCAAGGACGACATTCTAAGCAGCTATGCATCTGGACTATTTGAGCGCGGAAGCATGGAAAATGGTGTCCGACAGGGCTGGGAATTGGCGCTCGAGGTTCTAAGCCGCTTAAATGACCATGAGAAGATGCAGAAGAGTGTGTCAGAGCTATTGGATAAGTTGCCCCTTGACACTGCGGAACAGATGGACAGGGCCGTGTTGCTATGCTCTGAACTAGGTCTAGAGAAGGAAGGGAAACGAGTCTCTGAGGTTAGTCACTTTTTCGTACCAACAGAAAATGACGTACTAATTCAGTGCAGCGTTTCGGCGATCTTACAGTATCAAAGACCGAAGAATATGGCCTCGCTTTAATCTGCTATGCTCGAGCCCACAACCGACGAAAGGTCAAATCCGTGGTTGATCTCCTTATCTCCTACAGTCTCGTCCAATCACGCGCGTATCCTGCACCTGCGAACCTCGATGAACAGCTCTGCTCATTGATCAGAGAACCTAAGGCATGCCTCTCGGCCGTTGCTGGGGTTGATGAGGAAGCTGCCGGTATTCTTCAATTCTACTTTAGTGGTTATGCTACTCTGCGACGATACTATGAGACTCGTGATGAGGCTATTGGTCTCCAAGAGGGGCAAAGACCACGATTCAAGCCTTTAGCCAGGCGGCGAGCGGCGGCTCAAGCTTTGGTCGCGGTCATCAGTAGCGCTGCAGACAGCATTTACGGTGGCCTTTATGACCCGGACCGAGATTCTGCGGTGCAAGTCGATGGCTTATTAGCTCTTCTGGGAGAGGCGCTGCCGTTTGTCGAACGTAAGTCGTGATGTTTCACGTCGGATGAACTCGGCCGCTAACCGAATATTAGAATCTACGCCCATTCTTTCCGTATCTCAACAATCCGCCATTCTGTCCGCCATTGAGGATCTTGAGACGGTTACACCCCGCGTCTATGCTCAATGTGAAGAATGTTTCCGCTCTACACTCATCGAATATCACTCCAAGCGCGCAGGCGCTGATTCAGCATCTGACTCCTCTGTTCTCCCACCATCTCCTCGCGCATTGCTGAAAAAGTCCGTGTCCTCGCTGACAGCTTCGAGCACCTTCTCATTCATCGGTAGTGATATGATCGAGTCCGCACGGAACCGGTCGGGATCCGGGTCCGCTGGCAGCTCTGGCGTATTGGTGCCTCGTTCTAATAATCACGCTTCCTCGGCGTATCAAGAGCGAGGCTGGGACTGGCGTGCTGGTCTGTCGGAGGACGCCAGGGGAGAGGATATTCTCCGAATGTTGCGGTTGGGGCTTGCAAAAGGACTGAGTTTCGGAGCTCTTGGGTCGGTCTAATGAGGGATTGATAAAAAGTTCTAACATTAGCATGTACACTTTTTTTTCCCCCAAGGGGTCGGTGCTTGTCACTTCTTGAATGTATTATGTATAATGGGTAATAGCGTTCAGTAACAGATACAAAGATAAAGGAATACAAAAATCCGACGCGCATGGACGCAACATCACCCAGTCTGCCATCGGTTGCAGTACCTTCTCATGTATGTTGTACCGAGAATCATCAATGGTAAAGAGCTATGGCAGATGCATCATACAAGTATAGTAATAATGTGCTAGAAACTCCACATTTTATGTACTACTTCACCTGCAGGAGCTACATACTCATTCCCTAACTCTTAAAATCGGTGCATTACTACTACTGAATTGTTTGCATGAAGACAGTGAAGGATGAACTGATAGACTAAATTCATTTCTCTCCCGGTGAATAGATGAGAAGTCACTACCTATGTTATTATAGTATATATATACCACTATAATGGAAGTTTCCAATCTTAATATCCTCATTCAACGCCATATCACATCATCATGTCCCAAGTTCATTTCCGCCCCCTGTAAGTTTGTCATCCAGCCACCTACCTAACTGCTATTCTCGTCTGAAAGACGCCACCAGGTAGAGCGATGGTTTCATCGAGGTGGTGGTACTCAGTTGCCCATGTATAGACTTCGCGTTCAAACGTGGTTACTATTATGTGCTCATGGGTTCCGCCCCTACAGGCCTCGCGTCTGTTCAAAGCGTACTCTCATACTTGCATGACTAATAAACCGCATGGCCTGCTGAACCCAATTATACCGGACTAGTTCAGTTGCCTTCAGATAATACCTTCGTTATAGAAGTTCTATAACGAGGGTTCTTGGGTGCCACCTACATTAAACTACTACGTGCTATAGTACTCAAGCATCTAATATTCTATTACCAAAGCGGGTATACCAACCAAAAATCCTCTTCTAGCTCCGAGAAACGCAATC